TTGTTTTTTATGATTCATAATCCCCTTCTAACCCTCACCCTCCCATTTCCTCGCCTGCACCTGCTTGCCGGCAGCTGCGGCCGAACTGGCAGGAGGAGAAGCTAGCAGTCATGCGGGCAGCGCTAAGAAAGAAATTCACGACATACCCACACCTGAAAGAGCTCCTGCTCTCCACTGGAGATTCACCTCTTGTGGAGGCGTCTACGCACGATTTTTTCTGGGGGAGTGGGTGGACACGCAGGGGGAAGAACAACCTTGGAGTGCTGCTGATGCGGTTGCGGAGTGAGTTGCTGGCAGAGAGCCGAGCCGAGTAGGGCCTGATAGCTAGCTAGGGAGGTCTGGGCGATATGCATTACGCTCTCATGCATTAGGGCCGAGTGAATTTTTATCACACCTGGTGGTTGTGAACCTGTGACGGTCACTGCCACAATTATGCCATAGCTATGATATACCGTTAAAGCATTTCAAGCTAAAGATGTACGTTGCAAAGAGGAATCACTTTTGTGAAAGTACATAACCTGAATGAAAGCTAGCAACAGTGGCTTCTTGGGTTTGGAAAGGCATGCTGTACTAGGGCTTCAACACATAGGTCCTTGAAATTCCCTCGTGCCAAACAGCATTTCGACAGTAAGAATATCGAATCATTCCCAGCAGATGTACTTGTGGGGTGAACTCCACTAGCTCAGAGCTCAGCGCAGTGCTATAGCGAGTTACCTAGTGGCAATACTATTCCACGTGGAGGTGGCCTCCGCCGTGAACTTTCTTCCACTCACTGACTAACATGTGGATGAATGTTGTCGCGATGACCGATGGGTTTGAATCAGAAGCATGCATTCGTGTGACACATTTGCTCCTACCCACCACTTCAGTACAGCGCGGGGCATGCGCAAATTTCGAGTTGGTGGTTCGAAGGACAGAACACCAAACAAAATTTGAGCTGATTCCGGTCATTTGAATGAATCTCCTCCTCCGATCTGACATTCCTTCGAAAACATCGTCAGAGCCACGTCGACGACGGTTCGCGTCACCACAAATGCCTTTCCAAATCTTCAGGGTGCCCAATCAGCGAAGGGTTGTGATTGCGCGCTTTGGGTTGGCGGCGATCATCGTCACGTCACGCTTTCGAGTCGCGCTCCTCTTGCCATGACCTCTGGTTCTGCCTCCGGCAGGTAGGTTTTTGGATTTATGAACCTGGCTGCAGCAGTCACAGTAGATACACGAACTTACAGCAGAATCTGTCAGAAACCGTATCACGATTCATCACATGAGAACCACAGGGAATGGTCAGTAGGAGAGATCAGAGAAACCAACAACCAAGCACCAGATTTAGGTGCGAGGGAGACGGAGAAGGCTTGTTTTGGGTTTTAATCAGAGAAGTGAGCGCAGAAGTGAGATCAGTTTCTCTTGATTGAACACGCAACAGCAGCTAGTTTCTTGCGCGTGAAGGTAACTTCTGCCGAGTGTGAGTCACGAAGTAGTCAGACTCGCACGTCGAAGGCGGCGGGCTTCGCGGAGAAACGCATCTCACACAACTGACTTCGATCCGCCGAAGCTCGACCTCACAAACCCTTAGCCCTCCCTCTTCTTCCAAGAATTGTTCATGGCGTGTTTATCTTCGCAACCGTTGATTTCTGCCGGATCCCCAGCTGCTGACATCTCCGCCGTCCGATCATCCCGGTCAAATGTATCGACATTTGCCGCAGCGCCAATCTGTCCCGTTCAATCCACACGCCCAGCTTTAGACACTAGATTCAAGGTCCAATGCCTGCTTGGTCGAAATTCGACCCGTGCTAACCCGTCGAAGCGCCTCTCGTTTTGCCGATTCTCCGTCGAGCGCACGTCCGCTGAACCACCGGCCGGAAGGCACGCGCTGACGCATGATTCGTCGCGCAGTTCCCGCCACGTGTGCCAATCATCTCAAAGCAATGGCGCGATCGTTCACGAGGATGCGCGGGAGGAGAAAAATGACGAGACAAGCAACGGAAAGAGACAGAACCAGGACGGGGAAGCGGCAGCTGCGACCCGTATCTCTGACGGGCACATGAGCCGTGATTCAGCGGGTACTGCGACGCTGAGCGCGGCGGAGGAGGCAGCGCGGATCGAGGAGATGGGCGGCATGGCGGTGATGCAACGAACGTCAGTGGCGGAGCCAAGCGTGACGCACAGCAGCAGCAGCATCGGGCAGAGCAGTAGCACCAGCAGCGTCAGCAGCGCCAGCAGCTCGCACAGCAGCAGCGCGGAAACAGCGTCCGACGGAGGATCTGCTGCGGGGGGAGGGTTTGGCGCGCCGCTGTGGGCGGACATTCGGCGCAAGGTTCCGCACATGGGGAGCGATGTGCGCGACGGGCTGCATCCCGCCGCGGCGGCGAGCACGATGTTCCTCTTCTTCGCGTGCCTCACGCCGTGCATCGCGTTCGGCGGGTAAGCCGTTGCGGCGCGGTTGGCTCGTCGGTCGGAATTCCAGAAATTTTCTTTCGCACTGCGCTTATTTGCTGCTAAGAGGCTCCGGAATTTCGTTTCCTAGCATCAATCTCTCCCCTCTATATATCGTTCCGTTCGCCCCTTTTTGTTTACTCGGAAGTCCTTATAACTTAACCTCCTTTCTCATGTTCTCCTCTTTCTCTCTCTGCGCAATCGTGCTGACGCCAGACTGACGGCCGCGCAGACAGGTGGCGCCATCGGAGTGGTTGAGACGATCCTCGGAACTGCGAGTGAGTAGCTCTGCACTGGCTCTCACTTTTCTTCTTCTTCCCCTTCCGCTTCCCCTTTCCCATCCCCTTCCCTTCCCCTTCCCCTTCCCCTTCCGTTTCTCCTGCACCCACAAGTTTTTTCCGCCTTTCCTTTCCGTGTCCGCCTCTTTCCCCTTTCCCCTCCCTCTCGCCCTCTCACAGCATCCGGCTACGCCGTGTCTCCCCTCACCTCCTTCCCCATTCTCGACCTTCCGCCCCCCTCTCCCCCCGCACACGCTCTCCCCGCAGTATCCGGCGTGGTCTACGCCATGTTTTCCGGCCAGCCGCTCACGCTGCTCGGCCCCACAGGCCTTGTCGTCGTTTTCACTGGCCTGCTCTACAAGGTGAGCTTCTATAAAAGCTGAAATTTCATGTAAGCTGAGCTTTACAGCGTTGCGCTTTATGATGAAGCACTCTCCTAGAAGAGTTGCGCCTCGTCATTGGTGGCCCCACTATAAGTTGATCTGTAGTACCAAAGAGGGTTTGATAAAAGGTATGTTTGTGGGGCGGCCTGTTGTCCGCTGCGCGCTTCTATTTGCTGCGTTCCGACTATCGTTACTCCAATGCATCAGGCGTATATTCCTTGCTCCCAAATTCCGAGCCATTGCTGCAGGATAGAAGCTATTTCCTTCTGCAGCCGCATCTTGAGCTCGTCCCCTTTCTCCCTTTCCTTTCCCCCTTCCCCCCTTCCCCTCTCCCCCATCACCCCCCTGCCGCCGCTTTTCCCCCATCCAGTCGGCAGCAGCGTTGGCGCTGCCGTTCCTGCCGGTGTACGCGTGGGTGAGCGTGTGGTCCGCCGCCTTCCTGCTCACCCTCTCGCTCACCGGCGCTAGCGACCTGGTGAGCCTTTGAAGAGGGGGGGGATGGGGCAGCAGGAGGAGGAAGGTTGGGGAAATGGGGAGAACATGGGCGGGATTAAAAGGGGAAAAGGGGGCGATGTGGGGGGAGAAATGAGGGAGAAAAAGGGAAGTTGGTGAGGTGAGAAGGGTGGGGAAGGGTGGGGCGCGCGCGGTGGGAAGGGATTATGAAGCAAGATGGTTAACGTGGGAGCGTTACGGAAATGTGAGTAACGAGAAGGATGGGGATGACTAGTGGAAGATGATTTCACAGTGGAAAAAGGAGATACTTCATTTGTCGTCCACTGATGGTCGATTGCTAATGCATGTAGTAATCTTCTCAGTTGAGCTACATTTTGACATGTCATTGCACCACATTCCTCATCTCCTCCGTTTTCCCCTTCCTCTCTTTCATTCCTTTCCCCTCACTATCCCTCCCCTCCTCCCTCCCTCCTCCCTCCCCCTCCTCCTCCCCCTCCTCCTCCTCCCTCCCCCTCCTCGCTCCCCTCCTCCCTCCCCCTCCTCCCTCTCCCACCTCCCTCCACCTCCTCCTCCCCCGCCTCTCTCTTCCGCCCGCGTCTTACCCCACGGTGCGCGTCAGATCCGGCTGTTCACGCGGTTCACAGACGAGACCTTCTCGCTGCTCATCTCCCTGGGCTTCATCCTTTAGAGGTCTCAAAGAAAACCCGCCTCTATACTCATTCTCACCTCTGCCCTCCCCACTGCCCCCCATCAGATCCGGCTGTTCACGCGGTTCACGGACGAGACCTTCTCGCTGCTCATCTCCCTCGGCTTCATTGCCGAGCCCTGCAAGGTGAGGCGCCGGGCGCGTGGGGATGGGGTTGGGGGATGGGAGTGGGCCATGGGAGTGGGGATGGGGAAGGGGGGCTCATGAGTTCACACGGACGAGACGTTCTCGCTGCTCATCTCCCTCGGCTTCATTGCCGAGCCCTGCAAGGTGGGTGATCGCGCGGGAACATGGGGATGGGCATGGAACCGGGATGGAAATGGGGGACGGGGAAGGGGGGATGTGGAAGAGGGATGGGGAGGGGGGTTTATGAGTTCACACGTGAAACCTTCTTGCTACTCATTCCCCTGGGCTTCATGTTCCCGCCTTATTCACCCTAAACCCCTGACGCCTACTCTCATGCCCACCTGCGATTCGTCCCCTGCTTCTCCCCTTCTTCTCAGAAACAGTACCTGAGATTCTGTTTCTAGAGTCGACCTAAAAGTCTTTGTCCACTTCATCCCCTTCCCCTCTCAGAAACTGGCCGCGAATTTCGCAGCGGCCGCAGCAGCAGCCACGGCAGCAGGCGCAGCAACGGCAATGACCGCCGCAAGCAGTATCAGCAGCAGCGCCAGCAGCAGCAGCATCGGGGGAGGCGGGATGATGACATCTAGCGTGGCTCTGCTCTCCATGCTCGTGGCTGTCGCAACCTGGCGACTCACCTCCTTTTTCTCCTCGGTATGGTGGCTTCCTCTTTTGACAGTGACTCCCTATTCCACTCCTCTCTTTGACGCTCTTTTAACAGTACACTCCTAACTCTTCTTTTGAATCTCTTCACCTCAGCACTCCCTTTAACACTTTCGTTTACCTCCCCCAACCCCCTTTGCATCCCCCTCCACCCCACCCAAACCAGTTCCGAGACTCCCCGTTCCTCACACAACCCATCCGCACCGTCCTTTCCGACTTCGCCGCGCCCCTCTCCATCCTCCTCATGTCAACCCTCCCCACGCTCCTCCTCCCGTCCGTGCCCCTCCCAACCCTCGCCGCGCCCGCGCACATCGTCACCACCAGCGGGCGCCCATGGCTCGTGCCTCTCCTGGGCTCCCTCCCCCCGTGGGCCGTGCTGCTGTGCGCGGTGCCTGCGGCGCTGCTGACGCTGCTGGTGTTTCTGGACCAGAATATCACCACGCGGCTGGTGGATGCTCCGGGGAATGGGCTCGTCAAGGGGAGCGGGTACCACCTTGACCTGGCCGTGCTGGCAGGTGAGTGGGTGAGAGTGGGAGAAGTGAGTGAGAGTGGGTGAGTGAGTGAGAGAGACCATAGCCCTCTGTCTCCCTCCCTTAACCACGCGGCTTGTGGATGCGCCGAGGAATGGGCTGGTGAAGGGCAGTGGGTACCACCTCGACCTCGCAGTGCTGGCAGGTGAGTGAGGGAGGGAGTGAGTGATAAGGCGTTGTTGGCTTGTTGTGGTGAGCCCTTCGTCTCCCTTCATCGCTCTTTCGTATCCTCCGCTTTCCCTAATCGTCTCCTCCTCCCCTACCCACTCCTCCCTCTCTCCCTTCTCCCTGCCCCCCAGTCATCATGCTGCTGAGTGCAGCAGCGGGTCTGCCATGGATGGTTGCCTCCACCGTGCCCTCCCTCTCCCACGTCCGCTCCCTCTCCTTCACCCAACCTGCTGCTGCCGCTGCTGCTGAATCTCCTGCTCCTTCTGCTGCTGCTTCTGCTGTTTCGCAGCAGAGGGTTCGGGAGAATCGGGTCACGGGGGTGGCGATTCATGTGAGTAGTGCAGTTCCTGCCTTCTTATCATTACCACGATGCGGGAGCCGAACCTGATTGAGCCGAACCTGATTGAGCCGAGCCTGATTGAGCCGAACCTGATTGAGCCGAACCTGATTGAGCCGAACCTGATTGAGCCGAACCTGATTGAGCCGAACCTGATTGAACTGAACCTGATTGAGCGGAACCTCAGTGAACCGAGCCTGGATGAGCCTGCATTGCCATCTTAAGGTCCCACAGGCCTCTCCACATTCTTCCTATTCGCCCGTTTCTTGCACTCTTCCTGTTCTTCCCGTGCTTCCCACTCCTTCCACTCTTCCTATTCTGAGCTTAAGTCTACGCATCTCTGCTGTGTATGAAATCTTTCTGCATGGGCTGCATGCAGATTTGCGTAGGAGCGTCTCTCCTCCTGCTTCCTCTTCTCTCGCGCATCCCAGTTTCTGTAAGCCATCCCCCCATCTCCTCTATTTCACCTTGCTTCCTCCCACTAATAATTTTCTTCGAAGGATTTTACTTCCGTTTTGTGGAAATAACTCTTTTCCTTTCAGGGGATAGCATTGAAAACGCGACTCGAGTAAAATTCAAGAGGGAAGGGAAGAATTCGACAAGAATCTATGTGATGCATGCACTCTGATGCTTGCACTTACGTGTTAACGGCACTCACAATGCTTTGAGTCAACTCGAAGGAGTTCAGTCAACTTAGACAAAAGCATGTGTTTGATTCGCGGTTCCTGCCTCTCCCCTCTACCCACTTCCTCCTCCTCCCACTAACTCCCTCTTTTCGCCGTTCTCTCCCCTCTGTCACTCTCCCCTCTCTCCAGGTGACAGAGGGTCTGTTTCTGTTCATGGGGTTCTCAAGCTTTGCGGGCAACCAACTCGTTGACAGGTGCCCACTCTCCTCTCTTCTTTTCCTCTTCTCCTTTCCCGTCCTTCTCCCTTCACCCCCGCCCCCTCCCGTCCCTCGCCTCCGTTCCCCTCGTCTCCCCACTACTCTCATCTACTGTTATATGCTCTATCTCGCCCGTTACCCCTCGTTTCTCCTGCTCTCACCCCCCCCCCCCCCATGGCCCTCAACATGCCTCACTATTACTTATCTCACTTCTCATACCTGTGTATAGGCAGCGTCTGTTTCCCTCCCTCCCTCCTTCCCTCTCTCCCTCCCTTCCTCCCTTCCTCCGTCCCTACTTACCTACCGTCCCCTTCCCGCCTTACCTACCTCCCCACCTCCCTCCCTGCCCTCCTCCCTGCTCCCTCCCTCTCGCCTCCCGTCAATCACAACTTGATCATCAACTTTCAAGCCAGGCTCAAATCTGGTCAAGTTTCCCCCTCTTCCACACTAACACCGCTCCTCCTTGTCCCATCCTCAATATGGACTTCCATGTTTCTCTGTAAAGTGCGCCAAATACACCCTTCTTCATCCCCCGCTTCTTCCCAATATCCACCTCCCTCTCCCATCCTCCATATAGGCTGAAGCTGCTCCTGACAGACCCGTCGCGCTTCCCTGACTACCCCTTCATCCGAGGAGTGTCCAGATCCTCTGTATACGGGTTCACGGCCCTTCAGAGCGCGTGCCTGGTGGCTCTGTGGCAGCTGAAACACAGCAAACTCGGTGAGGAGATCTGTAGTGTCCTGGTGTGCCGTGTGGTGTGCCATGTGGTGTGCCATGTGGTGTGCCATGTGGTGTGCCATGTGGTGTGCCATGTGGTGTGCCATGTGGTGTGCCATGTGGTGTGCCATGTGGTGTGCCATGTGGTGTGCCAAGTGGTGTGCCGTGTGGTGTGCCATGTGGTGTGGTGTGGTGTGGGGTGGTATGCTGTGTAGTGTCTGTTGTGGTGTATGGGCATGAATAGAATGAGAGCGCATGAGTAGAATGAGTGGGCATGGCCATAATCACATGCATGGTTGTATGTTCTGCATCACAGCTGTACACTTGAACCTCTCATGCACACCCGCTAGTGTTACATTACGGGGAACCGCGTAATGCTGCATGCATCTACAGTACATCATTTTGCCACTGTACCTGCACAATACATCATTCTGCCACTGTATCTCCCTGCACTGAGATGAAACTACTGCATCTTTGCCCTCCCATCCCATGTGTGTCCGTGGTGCTTTCTACTGTTGCAGGAATCTTCTTCCCTCTACTCATTTTAGCACTAATGCCCATCAGGAACATTGTTGCGGGCCGTATGTTCCCCAGCCCTGATCTAGCCGTTTTGGATGCGCACTAAGGCTTCTTTCAGCACATCCTTACGCTATGGGTGGGATTATTGGGAACACTCGTTATGTGCATGTAAAAAAATAAAGAATGTTTGATATGGATTTGTACCACTAGGCTAGGCATGCAACTCCTATCATCAAACTTCACTTTAGTGCACGCGTACAGGTCTATGTGCGAGAATGCACTAGAAATGTTACTGTTGCAAAACTTCTCAACTGAAAATTGGTCACTCTCTTACTCGATATAAGCTCCAAACTAGTATATACACATTCACACTGGAGTATCTGCACCGGTATCAACATTCATGCAAGCACAAAATTACACCTCCCACGCAGGATTACGGTACCCAGCACCCAGAACAAGCTACGTATGTACATGCTACATTCAGAACCTAGCCGAACGTACTTTCCCCATTGTAAACTATATAGAGAAACCCGTCTTCATCCTTATGGTCATCATAGATTGATGACATAAGTGCAGCTGCATCGAAAAGTGAAAATAGGAGATGAGTAAAAGTACGCTGCAAGTGACAAAGGAACAAACGAAATAACCAATCATACCCGATGGTGGAATAGTGTTGTGAACAAACAGGAAAATCGCCTGCTCTGCCTCTAGCTTTATCCTCCTCCTAATAACAGTCATAAATTGGCTAACTGACAAGTCCGACGGCACCAGATACCTGCAAGTACAGAAGCAAAATGAGAGGATGACGAACAGGAAGAACGATACACAAAACGGTACGCCATCCTCACAACAAAACTCACTTTTTCTTATCGATATCAGGAGCCTTGCTCCTTCTTGCCTTCTCCACAATCACCTGAGAGTGTTGAACGTAAAAACGCAATAAGCAATTGGCGAGGAGGATAAGCACAAATGACCGACGAAGGTTGGAAACGCACAGGGATTCTATCGGGATATTTCTCCCGAATTCGTTCAGCCTCCGATTTCCTCTTCTCTGCAAAACCAAAACGCAGACATCGACGGGATGAACGTCTCGTAAGTAAGGCGCGATAACAGGCGCAGGCGCCACAGCTTCAATCGCAAAAACTTACCGACAAACCAAACAAATACGGTACCTAGGGAGTGCTGCTTCTTGAAAGGACGTTTGTCTGACGCGGCCATTCTCACAAGCGGGGAAGCGAAACCTATACGGGAAACCAATATTCAGAGTACCTAAGCACCCCAGACTCCCGCGCCCTGCTTTCCGCCCCTGACTTCCCGAGAGCTGGAAAATGAAAACCACTGATAGAATGAGAAGCAGGGAGCGGACTCACAGAGGGTGTGGTGAAGGAAAGGGAAGCACAAGCTGAGGTAAGGAAAGAGGGGTAGCGTGTTGCACAAGTCGTTGTCGCGCAGCGGCAGCACGAGGTATGGATGGATGGCATGCACACTGTACAATACCATTTCGGGCAGACCCACAGACAGAAAAAGGGTTGGGGTGGGGGCCTGTCAAACCCTCGAGCTGATGTGGCACCGAGTCTGGGCAGTACCAAGATGTCTCCACGAACCAAAGGCAGAGTGCGCATACGATTGGTGCAAACCCATCAGTTGATGTTACGACGCGTGACGGGCGATACGTTGGATGTGACGGGTGACGTCAGTCACCGTTGGCGACACGCCATTCAGGACCACATACAGCAAAAGGCAGCACACTTCTTGGATAGCTCGATAAGAGGTTGAAACTAAGGGGGATACTACAGCTTGTTTACGAGTTCGACTGAGTTGAAGTCGTTTCAATACAAACATTCTTGAATGGAATATTGAGGAGAAACATTTCAGGCTTATGAAGTGTCCATTCATATGCAAACAATTTTATGCAGTCCTGCTTACTAGAAACTAGCGACAATTATGTTCATTAATCATTGTAATTGCCTTCTCAGCAGCTGAACGCCTAGCAGCCTTTTTTGACGACCTCTCGTCACTAGAAGCCTCGATAATGCATTGGCATGGAAGTTGCCCTCTCACCGTTGAAATGAATCTGCAAAATGAGGGCCATGGGGAAAAACATGCACAAACGCACACACACACACGCAGTGATGTTTAAATGGACAAACGAATGAAACAAGTAATTTATCCCATACTAATGCCACATTACCACCATATACTCACGGTGGAAGAACATAGGGCTGGAGTTCTCTGTCATATATCGGGGTTCCCATGCGCAGCCTCTGGAAGAGTTCGTTCAGAGCACTGCAAGGATTCAGCTGATCCACCTCTGGTGCACGAACTCCGTGGGGCGCCATCAATTCGCTGTACAGCTGCTGCTGCGATGCAGCATGTCGAATCATCAAGCGGGCCTCTTGAGCAAGACCGCTCCAGTCTGCAACCGAGAGAATGGCTGCCACATTGTTCGTGGCATCCACAGGGTCAGCTACTACAGGCTGGTCCTGTCGTTCCGCATAGTCCAATAGTGCTCTAACGTCCTTTTCTGCATGCACAGCATGGTCGGTTAGCGAATCGAAAAATCTTAAGTCAAGTTCAATTGTCATGCATGCTCACCTTCGTAACAGCCCCCTGTCAATTCTTGCATCCAAACAACCTGAACTTGTCGAGACTGCACATGATAGATTAGCTCCATGGTTGAAAGAAACAGACCTACCCCATTCAAAGGCTCCAGAATAAACAGTTCAGGTTGGCTGCAAACTGGGCCATGGGACCACGACCGATCCATAGCATACGTGACCAACAATTCAAGTAGCCAAGAGCTTGGCCACTTGAATACATCGTTAACTGCTTTCCTAGTCTGCTTCCAATGCTTCACGAGGACGATTCCATCCCTGCAATGAAAGAGCTACTGAGTGTGAACTCACCTTCACAAAGCAGAAACAACAATTTTACAAACAATCCTACCTAAGGACGCTTGTCGAGCCGATCTTCTTCCTCATAAACTCCAACTGAAGCTTGGAGCAAGAAGCACCCCACTTCTTTCGGTTTCTCGGCGTCATGAAATGCATTCGCGTCAGCCTTTCTTCGTCCATTATGCCAGCAATCAACAGATCAACTATTATTCCGTCCATCTTCAACATGATTCGCAGCTTTCCTACATAGACATACTCGGTATCTAGGTTCTCAAGAGCAAACGCTGCAAGGTTCTGCAAAGACAAGCACATGACGAATCAGCCACATCCACCACTTTTATTTCCTGAAGTGACATCCATCACGCGTACTTACCTCCAGCATGCTATCATACGCGTCGACATTAAAATTGTTGCAAATGACGACCAGGTCCACCTCCAGGTTGTTCTTTATATCAGTTCCCCGACCATGAGAGCCAGCAGAAACGATTTCTGCTAGTCCGAGGCTCTCCCTTAGCTCCACGCTTTCTCTGAGTGCCGTCGCGACCTTCCCAACGACTGTCCGTTGGCGTTCCTTGTCACTTGGGAGCGGACGAAGGCAGCGAATAACCTCCGAAAGATTAGAGGACTCCTCCCACGGCCAAACATGCGTTCCAGCCATTCTGTTCCTCTTCCTGGAAGCGACCAAAACGATCCCCACATTTTGACAACTTGGGATCTGCGGTCTTCAAAAGGAAATCCAGGAAAAGCTAACGGGCAGTGAGATTTAAGAATTCAGCGTCCCAAGGCAAGTACACAACCATGGCAGGCCATTCCGAGTCGCAAGCATGGGAGGGAGGACAGCGACATGTTCTCTAGCAAAGCGGCCCACAACCTCGGGGTCCAAACTCCTGCCGGTACGTCCACGTGTGTCCCTTTTCATGGGAACCAGTTCCAGCGAGCACGGATTGGTCTAGACAGAAAGCCCGTTTGACAAACGCGGGCGTAGGCAGAAAGGCACATGCTTCCACCTCCCCCAAGGCACGGAGAGCATGGGTGGGGTTGGAGGGACGAGGGGAGGAGGGAGGGTGTATGATAATGTAAGTTGGACCACAGCTGATCATGGCGACGAGGCGACATGCACAATAGGAGGTGGTGAAGATGCGATATGCATAATAGGGGGGGAGGTGCTAGTGGGACTGCTGCTGATCAGGGCAACGTCCGTTCTGCATTCTTGGTGAGGAGATTTTGATTTCCAGTGAGTTCGGGGAATGCAAAGATTGTTGTTGGGGCCAACATCATAGACATGCAACTTAGTCTGGTAACCCTATGCAATGGTATGCAAAACCGTCTTACCTCAGTTTTGGAGTTATTGACAAGCTGTCTTGATAGCGCGTTCGTTTTTCTTTTTTAGCTTATGACTACCGCGTTTGACTTTGCACTAAAACGGAATTTTTTCGGGCCAAGAAAATAATAAAACCCAATCGGAAAGGATGCGTCAGGGAGGCATCAACCCTAAAACTATGTCCTTTCCCGTGTTTAGGGTTGATCCCTCCCAGAAATGCGTCCAGGTCGCTAGGGGTTTTATTGTTTTTCAGCCCTGCCCTAACAAATGCAGGTAGCAATTTATTGGGTGCAATATATTCTTTCAAAATGGACCCCGTGTAGTTTCATTCCAATGGATTTTTCGTAAAATGTATCGTGCGCGTTGAAAATAGTAGCCCGGAGGAAAATTTGTTAGGCGCCGAACGGGGCGCGGTAAGAACCACGAAGATACGAAATCGTCAACGCAACCGATATTTTATTGTCCTGCGTCTGCTGTTACACAGTGTTTTGAGTGGCGGAACCAGACAAACTTGCGCAGCAGAACTGGGGTATCGACGGTTTTGCATACAATCGAATAGGGTTACCATACTATATTGCATGATGTTGGCCCTTGTTGTTGAGGTCTATGATGTCGGTGCCCGAACCGAGCCGAACAGTTTTGCGTTTTGTTGGGGTCATTCTGGGCGATACCTAGCCTGGTAGGAAGAGGTTCGGGACGAGCCAAGTTTCTGCTGAAATCTACACGGTGTGCGACGGGATCCGCCTGGTTCATTGGTTCGAGCGTCAATCAATCAAGCACGAAAGCACACTCACGTTGAGTGCATCCGCGGAAACTGTAAATCCACGCGCTGCGCTGTTATGCCGGCGCCCTCGCGTCGCATCATCTAGAACCGTCCACGTGACTGGAGGCCTGTCTTAAATTTGAATTACAGAGACACGCGGTTCACGGTCTCCGTGGTTCCCGTTCCGATACCTTCTCTCCCATCCGATCCCATCCGATCTGCGTGCAGTGACGCCACGTCAGCTCCCAACATGTCCTCTACGCCATCTCACCCACTCGCCTCCTTCTCATCTCGCGATTCCGCTCCCGCTAATCCACTCCAGCCCTCAGTTCGTGAGTTATACGGTGTAGGCCGCGGTCCCGGTTCAGGTTCGGTTCGCGCCCCGTCCTCCGGACCAGGCTCGGAATCTGCCTCGGCACAACAACCCGTAGGTTTGGCAACACAAGGAGCTCACCTCGCGGGAGGATCTCCTGGCCTGGCCGCGCGGGGGATCGCTGGTAGCGCCAAGACTGGTTCTGGCACGATTTCCGTCGCAGATAACGGCGGAGATGACGTGGAAAGATGGAGGGAGGCGGTTCAGGGGCTTCGCGACGCGGAGAGCTTGGTGGGAGCGCTGGAGCAGCTGCTGCTGGGACCAGATACGCTGTTTCTAGACGCAAACGCGATGCGATCGGCGCGGAGTGTGTACGAAGGGCAACGGCAGTTGCATGTGAGTATTCCTTCTGCGGAGTGTGTGCGATATAACTTGCTTTGTAACACCTCTCGTACCCCCCTCCCCCCCTCCCTTCCCTCTCTCCTCTTCCTTTTCCATATTCAATGACTTCCAGAACAGTATTGTATCACTTCGTTGCTTGGTTGAGCGCACTTCTCTCAATCCCACATCATCCCTGTCTCCCCACTTTCCCCATGCCCCCTTCCCCTCCCCCGCACCCACCCCAACATGCGCTAAATCGGCGCATGGCAGGGCTGCAAGGGGGGCTGAACGACCTCGGAATTGACTCAACTAGTCCCCCTTCCCCCTCCGTCTCCTCGCTCTACTCCCCACGTCTCGCTCTCCCCTCTCCCCGTGTTCCACCCCTACAGGCACTGAATAGGCGCGTGGCGGGGCTGCAGGGGGAGCTGGACGCGGCAGTGGAGGCGGCGAGGGAGGCGCGCGCGGGGAGGCGCGAGAGCGAGGAGGAGCGGCGGCGCATGCAGGACGCACTGGCACAGGCGCAGCGAGACATGGAGGCCACCTCAGGTGCGGGCGCGGTGTGGGAGAGGCGGGAATAAGGGGATAGGAAAAGGGGGCGAGGAGGATAGGGGAGATGGGGAGATTGGGAGAGGGGGGAGGGAGGGGAAGGGAAGGAGAGGGGAGGGGGAAGGGGTAGGAATGGGAGGGAAAGGGGAGGGTACAGGAAGGGGAATGTGCGAGGAGTGAAAGGAGGGGAGTGTCATGGAGTGGAGGGGTAGAGTGAGTCGCAGGGCAGAAAAGCACAGGACAGCATCCCACCAGCACCATGCACGCTACCTACTTTACAGTTGCTTTTATTCCCAGTCTCCCCTGCTCACAGGTGCGTTTGACCTGTGCACATGTGAGCTCCACTCCAAGCCCGCAGCAACGTCATGACCTGGTAGGTAGCAACCCTTGGCTCACCTCCATCTAACCCATCTCCCACCTCCCCAACTCCCAGGCGTGTTTGACCTGTACACGAGTGAGCTGCGGGGCCGGCAGCAGCAGCTGGAACGCGCAGAAGAGGAGGTGCGAAACCTGCAGGCCCGCCTCCGTGCCGTGCCCTCCCATCCCGCCACCTCTGCCCACTCCTCCCCCCAGTCTGCCTCCCATTCCTCCGCCTCTGCCACGTCCTCGATTTCTTACTCCTCGGCTTATGGCTCTGTCCACTCCTCTGCTTATGCCTCTGCTGCGTCATCAGTATATGGTTCGGCGATAGATGTCCCTGCGTCCCCGGCTCTTGCAACGGGAGCTGCCCGTGCCGCTCGGGCTGGTGCTGTGTCGGCGTGGGTTGCTGGTGCTGCTGCTAGTGCGGGTGTGGCTCCTGTTGGTGCCAGTGGCAGCAGCAGCAACAATGGCAGTGGCAATGTCACTGGCGGAGGCAGCAGTGCCGGCACTGCCACTGCTAATGACAGTGCTCCAGCTGAAATCATCACTGCTACCAGCACCACGGACCATTCTGTGCTAGCCAGCCCCTCTCCTCTTTCCATGCCCTCTCAGACACACGCTTCAGTGCACAGCCCATTGGTGGAAGCAGAACAGCAAGTGGCAGGTGTGGTGGAGAGGACAGGTGCGGGAGCTGTTGATGCGCTGGGAGGCAGGCAAGGGGAGGATGAGAGGGAAATGAGGAATGGCAGGGAGGAGGAAGGGCAGGAGATGGGGACTGTTGGAGTGAGTGATGGCAGTGGTAGGGTTGCTTCCCAGGCGGAAGGCACCGGTACCAGCAATACAGAAGGGGATGATGACGAATTTGTGGATTCTCTACAGTGATTGCTGTGTCTATGCGGTTACGTTTTGCAACTTATAGTTTTGTGGATTTTCACTAGTGGCTGTTTCCTGTCATAAGGCAAAACATACGGTATTCATATTAAATCTGTGGAAGATAACAACTTATGTATTTTCGCAAGGGCAGCAGCTGCCGTGATTCAGTTAATGGTGCAGCATAGAGCATGTCTGGGGCCTTTCTGTCCTCTCTGGCTAGCTGGATTCAATGACGTTGCTCACGTTCAATTTTGAAAATATCATTGCACTGTATGTTCACCATACACCACAAGTTCAGCAAGAGCTAAGCAGCTTTTTGTTCCATTCCACCAACTTGCATGGAAGAATCTTATTCTTCCTGGGTAGTCCCCGCCGACCAAGTCGCCCATGTTTGCACTTCATCAGCCAGCCAGCTAGACCACTACTTCACCTGACCTCCCCTTTGGCTCCACACAGTACCAGAGTCATGTCACTAGCCGTGCACACCCTAATGCTTGTGCATATAAATCTGCCATAACAGGGGTGGTGGGTATACTACGATGGGTACTAGCTGCGCACTGTGATGGTGGTGGATATGCTGCCACTTCTCCCCAGGTTAGTTGACAATTGCTCGCCCTCTGTCAAGGGGGGTGGGAAATCAAGGTGATTGCGGTGGTGGTGGCCGCGGCCACGGCGATAGTGGTAGCAGTGGTGGTGGTGGTGAGTTAGTAAATGATGGCGGAGGTGGAGGCGCTACGGGAGTAGGGAAGCTTTACGAGAAAAATGGAGGAGGAAAGAGGGAAGGAGTAGATCAGGAGGATAGAGGTGGTGGTGGCGGGAGTGTGGGTATTGATAGAAGAGGCTGCTGGGGGGGAGGTGGGGGTCTTTCAGGGGAAGGAGGAGGCATTGGTGATGGTGGTGCTGGGGGCAATGGTGGTGGGGGAGGGGAGAGGGCTGGGAGAATGAATGGGTCATAGGGAAAAATGGGTACTTCTGGGGAAGTTAACGCACTGGAAGCAGATGCACTGGGTGGGGGTGGTGGAGGTGGGGACGGGGGAGGATGAGGGGGAGGGGAAGGCGGAGGGAAGGGGGGGGGAGGCGGACGAGGAGGGGGGGATGGCGGAGGGCGTGGGGGAGGCATGGGAGGGGGTCGGGGTGGAGGCGACGGCGGTGGCGGTGGCGACGGTGGTGGGCTGGGGGGAGGGGGAGGAGGAGGAGAAGGAGGGGGACTGGGCGGAGGAGGGGAGAAAGTCCACGGCTGCACCACTCCACACTTGGTCACCTGACTCATAAAATTAGCTGCCTGGTCTACAGGCAACCCTGCATCCACCCATCCGCTCACACTCGTCCCATTCAGCACTGCGGGAATAATCGTCCCAGTAGACAGCCCATACACGTTGACATACGTGGGCTGCAGGACTGCTTTCGCGTGATCGTCCGGATACGACGAATCTATGTTGATGTTATCGAGGAGAATCTGCTGGCAGGGCACGGAGGCGCTGCAGTTCAAGGTGATCCCGCGCGTGCCATTGGTGGTGCCCTGCACGTTGCGGTATGTGATGTTGAAGATGGCCACTGCACTCTGCTGGATCGGGCACGCGACTGCTGTATCGCAGTAGTACTGGTGCGGTGGGTTGGGAGTTGGGGGGAGAAAGGGAAGCAGGGGAGGAGGTCGCATGAAGGAATAGCCTGGAAGATTTGATTCGTTGTGTTGTGAAAAAAAACAAAAACAAAAAAAACACAAAAACACGACTCATTACACGCAGATTCTGGATGGTTTGATTTGCTGGATAGGGCATGTGGCGATGTCGGCGGTGTCGCTGGTGCTGGTATCGCACTTGTCGTAGTGATATTGTTCAGCATCAGTGACTTTGTTCAGCATCAGTGACATTGTTCAGAATCAGTGACATTGTTCAGAATCAGTGACATTGTTCAGAATCAGTGACATTGTTCAGCATCAGTGACATTGTTCAGCATCAGTGACATTGTTCAGCATGAGTGACATTGTTCAGCATGTGTGACATTGTTCAGCATGTGTGACATTGTTCAACATGAGTGACATTGTTCAGCATGTGTGACATTGTTCAACATGTGTGACATTGTTCAGCATGAGTGACATTGTTCAGCATGTGTGACATTGTTCAGCATGTGTGACATTGTTCAGCATGTGTGACATTGTTCAGTATCAATGACGTTGTTCAACATCAGTGACAATGGCTTTGTCCTGTAGGCATTCTTTTTCTGCAAACTCGTGATAAGGAAGGTCCTGCCAAAACTGTTTGCGCCAAATTTAACGTTTCAGACTACAAAACACCACTTTTGGAGCGCGTAAATGGTCGCACAATTTGTGCGCGGACAATTCAACCTCGAGAGCCAGCATAGCATCAGCCATGGCACAAGTTTGCGGGGCAGCATCAACACGCCCTAAAAATAGTGCACGGGTAGATAATATGCTCTCAACAGAAACCCGCGCCAAACTTGGTTGGTTGGTCTGATAGGGTGTCCCCTCAAAGAGGTTCTGAAGGAAGACCCAACCAGATCGTGGGGAGCGCTGAAATGTGTTTGTGCAGAAAAATAAGCAGCACAAACAAATTTCAACATTGCAAATGTGTTAGGCGCGGGGCTTCATGGCAACATCAACGCAGCAGATTTGATTAGGTGCGTCAAGAAGTTACTCGGATGGACCAGACGGTACATTTTATGCGGAGGCGAGTCCGCCTACAGAACAAGGCCATTGTTCAGCATCAGTGATATTGTTCAGCATCGGCGATATTGTTCAGCATCAGTGATATTGTTCAGCATCAGTGATATTGTTCAGCATCAGTGATATTGTCGCAATGGATGGAGGAGAGCACAAGGGTGAGTGTATGAGTGAGTGGAGTGAGAAAGGAGTCAAATGTGACTTTTATGTGCAATTTTATCTCTCACACACACACACACACACACACACAGACACACACACACACACACACACACACACACACACACACACACACACACACACGTACCTGGTCAATAATGATGGGGTATTTAACGTCCTGCATGGTGACGTTTTCGTAGAGCACGTTCCAGACGGCCCCCTGGCCGCCCTGGTAGGTTTTGATGCGCAGCCCGTTGGAGAGCGCTGCTAGCTGCACGTTCTGCACTCGGATGTCCGACACACACGCTAGACTGCCGCCCGAACCCAGACTGCCGATGCTGGTCAACGGGAGGAGGGGAAAGAGTGGAAGATAAAAGGAAAAGGTATGGAAACGCGGTTGACGCACGCATCAGACTGCCGATGCTGGTGAAGAGAACAAAAGGGAGGAAGGAGAAAGGCAAAGAAGAAGATATGAACATGCAGTTGACACACACGCCACTCTGCCACCCTCCAGACTGCCGATGCTGGTCAGGGGGGGGAGGAAGGAGACAGGGAAGAAGGGTGAAGGGATGGGGATGAATGCACACCGTTGACACCCAACCAGAACCCATGAGACGGAAAAATGATGTACACATGATCACATGTACGCACCTGATGCCATGGCCTGCTGTGGCAACCACATTGCGTATGGTGATGTTGCTACATCCCCCCACAATCGACACATTGTCATCGCCTGGTGCAGCAGCAGGGGGAGTGAGGTGAGGGAGAGAGGGCGAGGGAGAGAAGGGGGAGAGGGGAAGTGGGGAAGGGGAGAGATGTTTGAATGAAGAAGAGGGGGGAGAGGCCAAGCAAGGGAAAGGGAAGACAGTCAATGTTACCATGTGCCCTACGCTCAGGCCAAAACACTGCCCTTGCAAACCGCAAGACTCAACTTCAGCACAAGCATACCGCCCCCATGCAGACACAAGCACGCACCTCCATGCGACACCAATTCACCTCCATGCGACACCAATTCACCTCCATGCGACACCAATTCACCTTCATGCAACACCACTTCACCTCCATGCGACACCAATTCACCTTTATGCGACACAAGCACGCACCTCCGTGAGACGAGTAGTCCTCGACGAGCACATCAGTCGTCCGAGTGAGGTGCAGGCTGTCGGTGTTGGGGCTGTTGTAGGGCGTGCTCGTGCTGATGTCGTGGATCCACGCACCCGCTAGGTCCTTTATGTTCATGTGGAACATCGGCGGGTTGCTGCCACGGGCAGTAGAAAAAATCCAGGATCAGGATGGAATCATCTTCTTGTTGAAATGTCTCAATGGGTTGATGCATCCATGTTGCATGCCTTTCCCTGAAGTGTAAGGTTTTTTTTTGTTGCCCGAAGCAGCTTGTGTGGCTTGTCCATGGAGGAACATGGGGGGTTCTAGCTGCCACGGGAGTTCCGTGGAGGTTATTTTCTGGTCAGGTTTGGGTCTCTCGACAAATTACCTCTTTCCCCCTCCCTCTTCCCCCTTCCCCTTCCCCTTCCCCTTCCCCAACTTACCCTCTCACCCCCATTTTCCCCCGCCCTCTCCCCCACCTCTTCGCCCCCGCCCCCCTCACGTCGACTCACCGCACTTGAATTCCGCCGAGCTCCATCCCATTGCACCGCGATATAAACAGCAGATCTGGTCGATTCGCATTGCTCCCCGCTTTATACTGCGACCACCACACGCTCCCCTGACCGTCGATCACGCCCGTCCCAACCAATCGCAGCCCTGGGATCTTGCTGATCGACACGATCGCGCCATTCGGGGGAGTCGAGCCAATAGCAGCGGGATTTGGGTCCGCGGCAATGATTCCATCCAGCTGCACCGTAATCGTCCCCGTGCCGCATGGCCCGACGAAATTAATCGCCCGTCTTAGTAAAAAAGTGTAACCGTCGGGGAAAGTAATCGTAGCGCGAGCACTCGTCGCGTTCGCGTAAGCGCACGCCTGCTTGAACGTTGCTTGAACCGGTCCGGTATCGTTCGCGGTGCCGTCCCCCACGGCGCCCAGGTACCGGGGATCGTATTGGCCCGGCGGTAGCGGCGGAAGCGGAGGCGGCGGAGGCGGGGGAGAAGGTGGGGGAGAAGGGGGCGGGGGTGGCGGAGGACGGGGTGGCGGCGATGGGGGAGGTCGAGGGGGAGGCGGACGGGGAGGCGGAGACGGCGGCGGGGATGGGGGAGGCCGCGGGGGAGGTCGTGGGGGAGGCGGGGGCGGAGATCGTTTCAGAGGCGGTGGGCTGGGCGGCGGCTTCGGCGGCGGACTTGGCGGCGGCTGGGGAGGCGGCGGCTGGGGAGGCGACGGGGGCGCATCGGGCGGGAGGATGACAGGTTTCTTAGGGGGACTGGCCTTGCGGCGGGGCGGAGAGGATCGTCTGCGCCGGTGGGGAAGGGAGATTTTCCAGCGGAAGACAAGGAAAGGCTTCTTCCCCGTCGTCTTCTTACGGGGAGGCGGAGAGCGCCGGGGGGACCGAGGCGGAGTCGGGCGCGCGGACAGAGCCTGCGGGAGGGGACGCGGTATTCTCTTCGGGGGCAGTTTCTTGGGCAGGGGCGAGGTTTTAGCGGCAGCGGCAGTGACGTGGCTGGTTTTGCCACGTTGGCTTTTCAAAGAGCGGCTACTGGTAACCCGAACGGTGACGTTGCTGACAGGAGACGTAACAGCAGGGGCGGAAATCGCGGCGTCGCGGGGGAGGCATTCGGGGGAGCGCTTGCGCTTCCGCCGACACACACCCCCCGCGAAGTAGCACGCGGGGAACGGCGCGCATCCCGCCAGGGCCACGGGGCGCCCGCCATTCCACGCGCAAGTCGCGGACGCGCAAGGGTCGGGATCTGCGCAGCCATCTGCCAGGGGGGGCGCGGGGGGGAGAGGGGAGCGGAAGATTAGAAAGGGAAGGCGGAACGAACTTTTGCATACCAGACATATGGTTCATTCTAATGAAATATCTAATCTGCGGTGCTGGAGTCGCCTTCCCTCCTCACTTAAAGATAGAGTTGTTCTCGAGTCGCACAGGTGCTTTCCACGTTTTCCATTCTCTCTTTTCGAATGTACCACCAAATGAATGAGCGCTCCGTTCCGTACCTGGGAATTGCCGAACCACGGCGCAGCTGGCCGTCAGAAGGAACCGGCAGTTGCCATTCCGCCAGCTCTGGCCGGCAGGAGGCGCCCAGCCGCTGTCGGCCGACAGAGTGGTGCTGCGGAGGCGGAGGTGGGGAGAGAAAGGGGAACGACAAAGAGGGGCGGGTCCGCGAAAGGAAATGCGCAGGAGGGGGGATTATGAGGGCGCACGTACGGAGCTAGACACACACGTGGAGCTATACACATTTCTACACACATTCATCTTTCCCCTTACACGCACAGAGCTTCACGCGCGTAGCGTGCGCGTGGGCGAAAAGAGGAAGGGCTTACAGGAGTGGGTTCACGACAGTCGCGGCAAACGACTGCGTGCGGTTGTCGAAGACGCACGCAACGGCTTGCAGCACCGACGGCGCCGGTGGCGCGTCGCGGCCGCGGTCGCCGCCGGCGCTACTACCGGCAGATGAGTCGTCTAGCCGGGAGGACTTGTGGACGGCGATGGCTGGCGAAGAGAGGTGGACGGAGGTCGGGGGAGGTGGGGGGAAGGAGGGGGGAAAGTGGGAGAGTTCGGGGAGAGAGGAGGTGAGGGGAAAGAGTAAAGGTAAGAGATATCCTTATCTGCGGTGCTGCTGCCACAGCGACAACTGACATGAATATGGTGAAAGATTGAAGGTTTGGTGTGAGGCTTGCCGTCGTGGTAGTGACGGTGGTTGACAGACCGACGTTGACGGGAGACTGACGGCGCAACGGGCGTTACCTGGGGAAGCTAACGTCAGCAGCGGCACAATGAGAGCGAGGAGTAGTTGCACTCGCACTCGCACTTGCAGCTGGTGGTGATGGTGTGTTAGCGAAAACGTGCGACGACGGTGCGCGGATCGCATGGCGACTGGCGCAATGAGTCGGCATGAAGGATGCAGCAGCAAAGGGTCTACTTCTGTACAACCTAGTCTTAATCTCCAATACCTAGGGAGTGTCCCAGTACGAGTGCCGATGGCATCAGAGCCGCAGAGACGCGACGCAGAAACGGTTTATTATGTTTCTATGGCGACGCAGGGATGATATCATAGGACCATTGAGCCCGTACACCACTGCTCGTCTACAATGCTCGTACGGCTGGGGGGTTCGAGGCGCTCTAGGGTGAAAGGGAGAATGCCAACGGCTGTAAATCACTAGGGAGTCACACGCGCCGAGAGTCGACCGCGAATGCCGGAGATTTGTAACCTGCGCATGATGCCGGGATCGAACATGAATGCCGATCTATATATCCTTACAAATAGGGGCGGAATAACATGCTCGCTATTGATACCAGGCTCGCGCCGGCCCACTTGTCACGGGCAAATGTCGCGTGCGCTGCTATGGTAGAAACTCCCCGGCTCTCTCAGCTGTAAAGCTCTTGCTGAAGGGATGACGGAAAAGTAGGTGCTTGATGCGTATCCCGTCGAAACCACTAGCGTCGAAAATAATGCTGTCCAACAGGTAACAAGTGAATGCGCATCACGCGCTGGAGTTCTGGCGTCACGGGTTACAGCTGTTGGCTTGGCAAGTTCGTCCAATACGGTTCAGGACAAATTCACTGATACAGGAGCGGCACCGTCTTATACCGTAATTTAACGAGATCAACCGCGATAATGGTATCCCCCAAAGGGTGTGTGGGGCTTGGAAGTCCAATCCAGGTTTCCCTTGCGCCTGCGACGATTCGGGGTGAGGGGGTGGTGGTTGAGTACAGCACCTCGTTTCGTGCGTCGCTCGCCCCGCATTTGTCGGAGTTACAAATTGCGTGCAGTCGCTTTGATACGAAACCCAACTCCTCGAGACACCGTCAAAACTGCAGTTTACCGAACCCAATCGTGAGAAATGCTTTAGCGCTGATAAGTTAGCGAAGGCAGGAGAGGGTGGGATGATTCTTTTGGACGGCCAGACCAAGGCGCCACGAGAATTTACCAAGGCGGCAAACCTTTCAAGTTTCCCGCTGGCGCTCTTGCCACAAGCAGCGCGTCTGTCGTAGTGATGTGTTGTCAGTGGTGAGTGTTATGAATGAACTTGTCAGAGTGCGCGGATATCGAATAACGAGAATGAGAAATTACAGAATGATTGAACAATGAAGTAGCGAGGCCTAAATAGGGGAAAACCTAGCTAGGCGGGGGGTTCGGGATGGGATGGCTCGGTGATGGCCACGATTGGAGCGGAGGCCGACTCGGGGGTGGTTCGGTGCGACGAAATAGGCATCGCAGGTTCGTCGCGACACCCTCGGGATGTCCTCGCTAACAACTTACTACAGTAAGGAATTCTAATTCCTTACACTCTCCCACCTTCCAAATAAGCCCTCCCTGTATGTAGACCGAAGCCTTCCGTAATGAGTACGCCGTTGATCTCCCTTTCAGCTGAATCCGACGGCTGAAATCCCTTGGGCGATATTTTTGAAAAAGTTGGAATGTAGGCCGTTGATGTAGTCAGGTCTCGATCTGACGGTCGAAGATGAAGTGGACCAATTCGAATTGAAGGTTGGAAACAGAGCCGTTGATCGAGCAGATGTTGATCGGACGGTCAGAGCTCGCGTTGACCGCTGATGATTTCAAATGTCGATCTGACGGTTGACGGTGACGCGGATGTGGAGGGAACCAGCTGACGCGAATTCAAACGCGATTGAGCAGGAACCGTAGATTGTGTCGGTGCGATCGCAATCGTCCGTCTGTCAAAATGTAATTGTATACATTATTCTATAACTGCCTGTAGTGTAGACTTAGTGTAGTTCTATGTTCTTGTTTGGTGGTGCACCCTCATGCTTGCCTATAGCTTGTACCAAATCTATAGTGCAACCCCTCTTTTGGCCAAACTCTCTCGTCACATCCTTGCCTTGCTCTAAACCCTAAAGCTATGGCTCCTAAGGATGCTCCTAAGCTACTCTAGCTAAGGTACTATTCTGACATGGTTTCAGAGAGGTTATGCTCCTAAGACCTAATGGGCCCACCGACTTTGTTATCTCTCATGGCGCTCGTCAAGCCCCCCGTCACGCCTTTAGATACGACGGTCGCGACCATCGTGACAGGCGGGACGGCGAGCATGCTCTCGTCGCCGCCCCATCGCACCTGGTGCAGCGCCCGACCCGGACGCCCACGCCGAGCGCCAGCGCGGACGAGAGCGCCGAGCGCCAGCGCCCTACGCCAGCGCGGACGCCCGCGCAAGCGCCAGCGCGGACGCCAGCGACGCGCGCCAGCGCGGACGCCAGCGCCGAGCGCCAGCGCGGACGCCCGGGGCGGGCATCGGGCAGGAACCGACGCGCGCGCCTCGTGCGCCTCCTGCCCGGCGCCTCGTGTACCCTGCTCGCCCTCGCCCGCCCCACCAGATCGCGCACCTCGCCCCCCCCTCCCTTCTTTTCCTTCTCCCTACTGCGTGTGCAGCAGTTTGGGGGGAGGGGGAGGGGGTGTAAGGGGGAAGTGGCACCAACAGCACCACCCTCCTCTTCTCTCTTTCACGGCCGCATCTGCTGCTGGGGGGGGGAAGGGTGGAGAGGGTGGAGTGGTGGGAGTGACGGGAGGAGCTACTGCTGCTGCCGCTCGCCTTCCCCTCTCTCTCACTGGCGCACGTGCCGCTGTGGGGGGGAGGGTGAGGGGCTGGCGGGTTTCTGGCCGCCGTGTGAAGGCTTGAGCAGGGACCACCGTGGGTGGGGAAGGCATAGGAGGAAGGGTGGGGGGAAGTGTGATGAGGTTGCAGGGGGCGGTTGACAAGGGGGGTGAGGTTGAGGGGGGGTGGCTGAAAGGGGGCGTGGACTTAGGGGGTTCGTAAGTGGGGCTCGCCGTGTGGCTCCCCCACCTCCTCTCCTCCCTCTCTCACCCCCCCCCCCTTTTGTAAAAAGGGGGTTCGTAAGAGGGGCTTGCCGCGTGGCTCCCCCACCTCCTCTCCTCATCCCTCTCTCACCCCCCCTTTTGTAAAACGGGGGTTCGTAAGAGGGGCTCGCCGCGTGGCTCCCCCCACCTCCTCTCCTCATTCCTCTCCTCTCCCCTCCCTCTCTCTCTCTCGTCTCCTCGCATTCCTCTCTGCCGTCTTCCACTGCGCTTGGTGCACCACTTCCGGGGGTGTTTCTGCACATCGTTCTCCACTGCAGGCAGTTAGGGGGTGTGTCAAAATGTAATTGTATACATTATTCTATAACTGCCTGTAGTGTAGACTTAGTGTAGTTCTATGTTCTTGTTTGGTGGTGCACCCTCATGCTTGCCTATAACTTGTACCAAATCTATAGTGCAACCCCTCTTTTGGCCAAACTCTCTCGTCACATCCTTGCCTTGCTCTAAACCCTAAAGCTATGGCTCCTAAGGATGCTCCTAAGCTACTCTAGCTAAGGTACTATTCTGACACCGTCGTGCTGACGCAACCTGACAAAGTCAGAAAAGGACCAAGAAAACGCCAAGGAAGAAAACAGTGCAAAGCACTTTCTCCCCCCCTCCAAGAAAATGGCACCAGAAAAGTTCCCGCAGCTGCGCCGAGATGAAAACACACAAAATCCAGGTGTTAAGTCCCACGAAGAAAGCCGTTGAGCGAAGAATGCCGGGTGAAGTTGCGTCGGTGTGGAAATTCTGATGACGAAACCAGGTATTACGTGCCCATAAAATCTTCGAGGGCGAACTCGCAGAAGTAGACCAGAAACCGAAACCAAAGTTGCCAAGTACTCGAACTGAAGCTTTTTGTCTTCACGTCGCCAGAATCGTGCAGTATCTTCGGCAGTTGCAGCTGGCAGCACCTGACGTGGTTGAAATCAATGCAGTTGTCGTGGGCGGGTCGAGTGGATGGGTTTGTCGCTAGTAGAGTCGGAATGGAACCGTCCTGAAAACCTCTGGCCGTGAAATCAGGAGTGTTACGAGTGTCGTCGAAGTCGGCGATTGAAGGCGATTAAAGGCGAAGTTGTTTATCGAGAGTCGGCGATGGTCGTCGAAGCAGTAACCGTAGCGAATGTCACTCCGAAAAATATTGTCGAACACGAATCAGTGTCAGATGATGTCAGCACCTCCGGCGGGTTTGTCCATACTCGCCGAGCATGTTGTCGCAATCCGCCGATGACTCCCGGGCAGAGATGTAAAAATTACAGCTGTCTCTCCCCCCTTCCACTGTTGCTGCCGCCTCCTCCAGTTCGTCGTAAGTCGTTCATACCCCTTGAAAAGTCCGTGTAGTTCCCGCGCCGTTGCCCTGCGTAAATGTCGCGTGCGTTTAACCAAAACTCCGAAAAGTCTTCCGAAATTGTCGGCGCTTCCCGCCGTAAACCTGTAAGTCCCCACGTAAAACTCCGAAAATTTCGCTCAAAAACAACCCCGTAAAATTCGCCGTTGCAGTTGCAGTTCGCCTCCGAAATCTTCGTTCGTGCTATAGCCGCCCACTCGGTCACCATCAGTTTCCTTCGGTTTACCCGACCCCAGCATGTGGGTTAAATCGAGAACCGGGGACTGCCCTGGGTCTTCCGAGACCGAATTTCACGGAACCTAGAGGCATCAACGCCGTTGACCTCCGTAGTCGAAGCTGCTCCCGCCGATGTCGTTTAACAAAAACTCCCTGTTTCTCCCACCAGCGCTTTGCAGATGTTTCACCCATCGCTCGTCGCCGGCCGATAAGTTCCCGAAGCTACGACTGCTCCCACGCTTCCCTTTTTTGAAGAATTTCCCGAGGTGTGCGTTTAAACACCAAGGGTCCTAGGAATCCTTGCCGCTGTGTTTCTTGCCAGGCAACTTCGAAAAGCGCCCTTCAGGCGAAGTCCCCCAGCGACTCAACCGCACTCCAAGAAACGAAGAAACACCCTCAGCTTCATATTTTTTTTTGTCGTTTCACCCCCCGAACATTCCACTTCCCGCCGTTCACCCAGCGTCCGCTTTTGTCGGATGGGGTATTGTCGGTGTTGCCCTGCGCGAACCCCAGCCACGGTGGAGAAGAAAAGACTATCGGAGTCGGGGTTGCCTTAGTTAAAAGGAAATCAGTCCCAACCGCTTCGCAGCCCACCGTGCCCGTCGCGCCACTAAAATTCCACAGCTTCCGGTCCCAGCTTCGCCGCTGCGCCGTCACCTCGTGTAGACGCCCGGGTCAGAGGAAACCTGTAAACTGCACCAGTGTTGTCCTGCGGCGCCCCGATTTTTTCGCGTGCTGTTTCACCCAGCCCGCTTTTGTCGGAGTAGAACAGTGCCGCAACTCCCCTTTTTTGTCTTTTCTGTACAGCTGTCGAACGGGCACCAAACCAGGTGCTTTTAACCAGCGCAGGGTAGGCTCGTGTTCACCCCCGTTATTCATCCGAATAAGGTCGACTGCATGAGTCGGAACCAGTAATCGGTGGGGATGGTGAGGTTCGGGCGAAGTAGGGCCGCAGATCGGTTCCACCGGCTTTTATCTGCTCCCCACGACGTTCTTCAACCCCCGCTTAGCCGTTGGGCAGTTTCTTCACGCGTGTCCCGGCGGCCTGCACCACACTCCGAAATTGTCGGGGTGGCACGTTGAACACCGTTTAATCGTGGGCTGTTGCGGCTGTCCCCGAAAACGGCTTCCTTGAACGGGGAAACCGATCTCGAAACTGTCGAACAGCTGGCAAGCAGCTCCAGGCACGCAGCAACAAACGAGTATTTCTCGGGTGTTCAGTCCCGATATGCCCTCGCGCCTGCGCCCCACTCCTGCTAAGTGCGATTTAGCCACGTCGTTGTCTGTTGCAGCCCGTAAGTGTCGGCGGGTCCAAAGTTCCCGTCTGTCCACAAGCACTTCTGCCGAAAATCGTCGACGACTCGCCCGCCAGTACGGTAAGCGCCGCACTATCCGGTCGGACGGGATAAAACTCAACCCCCGCATAATTCGGGCGGCTTGAGCGTCTATCTCTCCAGCCGTCGGGATCCTCTGACGCAAAACTCCATTTGCGCCTGGCGAGTCCTTCGAGCTGCCCTTTTCTTCACAGTAGAAACCTCCGAAATTGTCGCCCATGCTGACGCAGGCCCGTTGTCGCCAGCTGCCGAAGATTCTCCCGAGAATCTCGCGCACAAGATGACGGCTTGCCATCGACGTCACTTGCCGCGTAGGGACGACTCCGAAATCTTCGCGCAACTGTTGACGCAGATCCGCCAACGCCAGCTGCCACTCGTGATGACGACGTCGATGCTGTTCGTGCAGGTGCCGACGCAGGTCCGCTGACGCAGGCTGCCACACGAATCAAGCTCCGAAATCGTCGGAAATCGCAGCGGAAATTACTCACTTTAATGTCGCGACAGCTACTGCTGCCCGTCGCCCGGGGGGAGGGAGGTCATGGTCGATCGCGACCGTCGAGCTAAGGATCTGGCGGTGCCGAAGGAGTGCCCCGTAAAACCATGGCCGCGAAGAGCAACTAACTAGTTCTCTTGGCCGGCCTACGCAACTCCTGGACCCCAAGGTATCCTTACTCGTCCCCCCCCCCCCCCCCCCCCCCCCCCCCCCGAGGGGTATTACACTCTAAAAAGCGGGGTAGGCTAGGAAAGTAGCTCTGATACCAGGTGTTATGAATGAACTTGTCAGAGTGCGCGGATATCGAATAACGAGAATGAGAAATTACAGAATGATTGAACAATGAAGTAGCGAGGCCTAAATAGGGGAAAACCTAGCTAGGCGGGGGGTTCGGGATGGGATGGCTCGGTGATGGCCACGATTGGAGCGGAGGCCGACTCGGGGGTGGTTCGGTGCGACGAAATAGGCATCGCAGGTTCGTCGCGACACCCTCGGGATGTCCTCGCTAACAACTTACTACAGTAAGGAATTCTAATTCCTTACAGTGAGGGTGTGGTGGAATAGGTATAGGAATATATTATGACCTTATATTTAAGCTCATAAACAGCTCTGAAAGAAGGTTCTTGTTAGGATACGTACAGAAGAGTGGTGTGAACCAAAAAGCAAGAGATACAAGTAGGCAGCCCTAAAGTGTCGTACCCTACAGTGTACCTCACCGTAACATACAAATAAACAAATTTATAATAGTAGTAGTTTGACAGTTCCCTACCTTGCCTTATAGTAAGTCCCATAAGAGTGATTCATCCTGTTACCAGAGGCGCATACGGTACCGTACCAGGTGTTCCCTGAATTAGTCTACACTCTCTCGTCCTAGAGTCGAGAGAGGTGGCAGGGAAAACTAAAATGGTTGTACTCCTGCTGGTGGCGGTGGTGGTAGTGTTGGAGGTGGTGGAGAGTTAGTCAGTACTGACGATGTTAGTGGCCCTGGCGGATTAGGGGGGCTTGATGAGACTAGTAGAGGAGGAGGAGGAGAGGAAGGAGGAGAGGAAGAAGATGGGAAGGAGAACACAGGAGGAGGTGGAGGGATTGTGGGTATTGAAAGAGGAAGCTGCTGGGGTGGAGGGGGTGGGGGATTCTCAGGGACAGTAGAGGGCAGTGGTGGTGGTGGGGAAGAGTAGGATGGGAGAATGAATGGATCGCCTGGCAATATGGGATCTTCTGGGGAAGTGAAAGCACTGGAGACGGGTTTACCCGGAGGAGGAGGGGGTAGGGCAGGGGGTGGCGGAGGTGGGGACGGGGGAGGAAGAGGGGGAGGGGGAGGGGGAGAAGGCGGAGGCAAGGGGGGAGGAGGCGGAGCAGGAGGGGGGGACGGCGGAGGGCGTGGGGGAGGCATGGGGGGCGGTCGGGGCGGCGGCGACGGCGGTGGGCTGGGGGGAGGGGGAGGAGGAGGAGAGGGAGGGGGACTGGGTGGAGGGGGAGAGAAAGTCCACGGCTGCACCACTCCACACTTGGCCACCTGACTCATAAAATTAGCTGCCTGGTCTACAGGCAACCCCGCATCTACCCATCCGCTCGCATCTGTATCGTTCAACACAGCGGGGATAATTGTTCCCGTGGACAGCCCATAGACGTTCATATACGTGGGCTGTAGGAACGACTTGGAGTGCCCGTCCGGATACGACGAATCTATATTGATGTCATCGAGGAGAATCTGCTGGCAGGGCACGGAGGAGCTGCAGTTGAAGGTGATGCCGCGGGTGCCGTTGGTGGTGCCCTGCACATTGCGGTATGTGATGTTGAAGATGGCCACTGCACTCTGCTGGACCACGCATAAGCTTGCGCTGATGTCGCAGTAGTACTGGTGTGGTGGGGGCAGTGGGGGGAGAGAGGGAGAGAGAGAGAGAGTGTGAGGGAGGTTGTTGGACTAGGCATGTGCTGGTGGTGGTATCGCTCACGTCGCAGTTTTGAGGATTCTCAAAAGTGACTCATGTCGCAGTGGCCTTGCTCAACATCAGGGCAGCGGAAAGAGGAGAGCGAGTCAGACAGGACTCGGAAAGTTCTGATTGTTTCCAGATGGAGCACAAACACACACACACACACAAGCACTCACATACCTGGTCAATAATGATGGGGTATTTAACGTCCTGCATGGTGACGTTTTCGTAGAGAACGTTCCAGACGGCGCCCTGGCCGCCCTGGTAGGTTTTGATGCGCAGCCCGTTGGAGAGCGCTGCTAGCTGCACGTTCTGCACTCGGATGTCCGACACACACGCTAGACTGCCAGACTCGCCTAGGCTGCCGATGCTGGTGACGGGTGTGGAAGGGGGGGAAGGGGAAAAGGAGACGATATCAACATGCTGTTGACACCGATGCCAGGCAAGAGGTTAAGAATAAGTCGTGCTGCCGCTCTGGTTCGGACTGCTGGTGCCAGTAAGCCAAGGCAAGACCTTGGGAGAAAAGACAGGGACCAAGGGCGACAGAACGGGATGCACGCACACAGTTGACACAGAACGAACGATGTGCACACAGAACGAACGATGTGCACACAGAACGAACTATGTGCATGCATACCCATGACTCCATGCCCCATGCACCCATGACTCCATGCCCCATGCACCCGTGAGTCATGATCCATGCACTTCCCCCCCATGACTCATGCACCCATAATCCCATGTACGCACCTGATGCCATGGCCTGCTGTGGCGACCACATTGCGTATGGTGATGTTGCTGCATCCCCCCACAATAGACACATTGTCATCACCTGGTGCAGCAGCAGGGGGGGCAAAGAACGAGGTGGGGGGAAGAGGGCGAGTGGGGCAGGGGGGGAACGGTGCGGTGGGTTGATTGCAAGGGTGGGGACGAACATTAAGTTTAGAAGTTTGCTCAGGGTTTGGGGTCAGAACGGACACAAAGCACGCGCAAGTAAGAAATGAAAAGGGCGTGTAGGTAATGGTAGATAGGGCATAGAGAAAGTTAGGTAACACATACACAGGGTCTGATAAGGCACAGCCAAGGCAAACATGAGCCATGGGTCCCATGAGAATCAGTGCATGGCCATGCAGCCAAGGCACACACTACACACACCAACTGACCTCCGTGCGACGAGTAGTCCTCTACGAGCACGTCGGTGCAGCGAGTGAGGTGCAGGCTGTCGGTGTTGGGGCTGTTGTAGGGCGTGCTCGTGCTGATGTCGTGGATCCACGCTCCCGCCAGGTCCTTTATGTTCATGTGGAACATTGGCGGGTTGCTGCCAGCCACGGGCAGGGAGAAGAGAAAAATCTCGTTTGGTCAGAGTGGAACTTTCGCGGGTTGCTGCTGCGGCAGTAGGGCAATGTTTCTGTTGGAACATGGGGGGGTTGCTGCACAGGGAGTTTAGGAGTTTATTCCGGTCATGTTAGAAACTTTCTCAACCCTTTACGGCCTTCCCCCTGCCCTTTCCCCCTGCCCTTTTCCCCTTACCGCTTTCCCACACTTCCCCGCGTCATTCCGCTCCCTTCCCCGCCTCCCAATTTTCCTCCGTCCCTTCCCGTCACCTCCCCCGCTCCTTCAACTCACCGAACTTGAATGCCGCCCATCTCCATCCCATTGCACCGCGATATAAACAGCAGGTCCGGCCGCTCCGCCTTGCTCCCCGCTCTGTACCTCGACCACCAAATGCTCCCCTGACCGTCGATCGCGCCCGTCCCGACCAATCTCATCCCGGGAATTTTGCTGATCGATACGATCGCGGAATTCGGGGGATTTGACCCAATAGCGGAAGGATTCGGGTCCGCGGCGAGAATTCCGTCTAGCTGAATCGTTATCGTCCCGGTGCCGCACGGCCCGGCGAAGTTAATCGCCCGACTTAGTAAGAACGTGTAGCCCTCAGGGAGTGTGATCGTAGCGCGAGCGCCCGTCGCGCTCGCGTACGCGCACGCCTGCTTGAACGTCGCTTGAACCGGTCCCGTGTCGTTCGCGGCGCCGTCCCCCACGGCGCCCAGGTATCGCGGATCGTATTGGCCCGGCGGTAGCGGCGGAAGCGGAGGTGGCGGAGGCGGGGGGGAAGGCGGAGGCGGGGGGTTGGGCGGAGGGGGAGAAGGAGGAGGGGGAAACGGAGGGGGGGAAGGAGGCGGGGGTTGAGGGGGTGGGGGGAAAGGGGATGGGGGAGGCGGAGGTGGGGGGGGAATTGGAGGGCTGGGAGGGGGACGAGGGGGAGGGCTGGGCGGAGGGGAGGGTGGTGGGCGGGGGGGTGGCGGCGGGGGAAGGGCGGGCGGCGGAGGTTTGGGGGGAGATGGAGGAGGACGGGGTGGCGGCGATGGTGGAGGTCGAGGGGGAGGCGGACGGGGCGAGGGAGGAGGCGGGCGCGGGGGAGGGGAAGGGGGGGGACTCGGCGGGGGAGTCGGCGGCTTTGGTGGGGGGGGGACGGGAGGCGGAGGTGGTGGCGGTCGTGGGGGATGGGGAGGCGGAGAAGGCGGCGGAGATGGGGGAGGCCGCGGGGGAGGTGGGCGAGGGGGAGACGGCGGGGGAGGAGATGGGGAGCGAGGAGGCGGGAGGGGAGGGGGACTGGGAGGGGGAGATGGAGGGGGAGACGGAGGGCGGGGCGGGGGAGAGGGCGGGGGAGACGGAGGGGAGGGGGGAGGACGCGGAGGGCTGCGCGGAGGAGATGGCGGAGATGGTGGCGGGGAGGGCGGACGGGGAGGAGGGCGCGGGGGGCGCGGAGGAGGCCGAGGCGGCGGGGAAGGAGGGCGCGGAGGCGGAGGAGGAGATCGTGTCGGAGGCGGGGGGCTGGGCGGGGGCCTGGGCGGCGGCTTCGGCGGCGGGCTTGGCGGCGGCTGGGGAGGCGGCGGGGACGAGAGAGGCACATCTGGCGGGAGAGTGTCAGGTTTCTTTGGGGGTCTTGCCTTATGGTGACCTGGGGGGGACTTTCTCTGGAACGGCGGGGGGGATCTCTTGCGGAAGGGAGGGGGGGATTTCTTGTGGTGGAACGGCGGAGGGGCTCTTCTGCGCCGATGGGGAGGGGGAGCTTTCCAGCGGAACACAGGGGGAGACTTTTTTACCGCCGTCTCCTTATGCGGAGGAGGAGAGCGGGGGGAAACCGGTGACCGAGGCGGAGGCGGGCGCGCGGACCGGGCCCGCACGGGGGGACGCGGTATTTTCTTCGGGGGCTGTTTTTTGGGCAGGGGCGAGGTTTTCGCGGCAGCAGCAGTGACGTGGCTCGTCTTGCCACGTTGGCCTTTCAGAGAGCGGCTACTGGTAACCCGAACGGTGGCGTTTCTGACAGGCGACGTAACAGCAGCGGCGGAAATCGCGGTGTCGCGGACGAGGCATTCGAGGGAGCGTTTGCGCTTCCGCCGACACACACCCCCCGCGAAGTAGCACGCGGGGAACGGCGCGCATCCCGCCAGGGCCGCGGGGCGGCCGCCGTTCCACGCGCAAGTCGCGGACGCGCAAGGGTCGGGATCCGCGCAGCCATCTGGTGGGAGGAGCGGAAGAAAGTAAGCGGAAGGCGGAACGAACTATCGGAGACAAAGCAGTTTCTTGGAATCATATATCATGTCGGGCCAGATTAGCTTTTCACGCTCAGAGAGTCGCATAGTGTCAAAGCCGCCCTAGATGCACGTTTCGTATCATAATCCACGTTTTGTAGCCTCTCCTTCCACATGCATATGCCAACCCAGATTCGCCCAAATATGATAGAGCGCTCCGTTCCGTACCTGGGAAATGCCGAACAACGGCACAGCGGGCCGTCAGAAGGAACCGGCAGTTGCCGTTCCGCCAGCTCTGGCCGTCAGGAGGCGCCCAGCCGCTGTCGGCCGACAGAGTGGTGCTGCGGAGGCGCGGGACGGGAGAATAGGGGAAAGACGCAAGCGGGTCGGGAGACGGGGTGGTGAAAGGAAGCTCGTTGTTTTTCGCGCAGGAGGCGGGGTGTAAAGGCGCACGCGCGCGCACGGAGCTACATATTTCCTCATTCACGCACGAGTTACAAGGCGCGCGCACAAAGTTGCGACTACTATAGCGCAACACAGTAAAACAAGCAGGCGTGGCACGCGTTCCTGGCATGAAGATAGGAGAGATGGCAACCGCGGCGGGTGCGCGTGTGCTTGTAAAGGAGAGTTTCACAGGGGGGGGTTCACAACAGTCACAGCGCGTGCGCATGCGCGAGAATATGAAACGCCGATTTCTTAGTCGATTAAAACATCGAAGAGGAGGAGCTTACAGGAGTGGGTTCACGACAGTCGCGGCGAACGACTGCGTGCGGTTGTTGAAAACACACGCAACGGCCTGCAGTAGAGACGGTGCCGGCGGCGCGTCGCGGTTGCGGTCGCGGTCGCCGCCGGTGCTACTTCCGGCAGATGAGTCGTCTACCCGGGAAGAGCTGTGGACGGCGATTGCTGAAGGGGGAAAGTTGGAGGAAGGTCGGGGGAAGTGGGGTGGGAGTGGGGAAAAAAACGGAGGGAGGGGGAGGGTTTCGGGGTGGGGGGAAAGAGGAACGTTGAGAGAGATTGGTAACAGTCACGCTGGTGGTTCGGCGTGAGGTTTGCCGTCATGATCATGACGGTAGTTGACAGACGGACGTTGACGAGAGACGGACGGAGCAACGGGCGTTACCTGGGGAGGCTAACGTCAGCAGCGGAACGATGAGAGCGAGGAGCAGTCGCAGTCGCAGTCGCCGCCGCTGGTGATGCCGTGTTTGCGAACACGTGCGGCCCTCGTGCGACGATGGTGTGCGGATCGCATGGCGACAGGCGCCATGGATCGGCATGAAGGACGCAGGCGTGAAGGGTCTTCACCGTATCAACCTAGTCTTAATCTCCGATCCCTAGGTAATGTTTAAGGACGAGTGCCGATAGCATCAGAGCCCCGGAGACGAGACGCAGAAAGGGTTTACTATGTTTATGCGGCGAAGCGGGGATGATACTATAGGACCATGGCGTTCGTACATCAATGCTTTTCTACACCGCTCGCCTGCTATGCTCGTACGGCTTGGGGACCTGACGAGCTCACGGGAGAAAGAGGAATGGCGACGGTTTTAACAGAGAGACACGCGCGTGGGAATGACACACGACGAGATTGTCGAACGCGAATGTCGGAGATCTGTAACCTTCGCATAATAATACCACGACCGAAAATGAGGATGGAAAACTGCCACGAAGTCGCTATTGATCGTAGGCAATGTGGTGCACGGCGACGTGGTTGTCACGGGCTAGATCGGTTGTAGTCAGCGTTAGAGCAAATGCGGGTGCTTCTACGATAGAAACTCTCCGACACCCTTGCATTGCCACTTGCTACGACGTTGAGATGGAAAAACTAGGTGTTTGACGCGTATGCCGTCGGAACATGAAATGTTGGCAAACAGGAGAGAATTAGAGCTACCGCGTCTGGTGCTGCTAGCAAGTCAGACTTGCCCTCGGCGCCTGCGATGGTTCGGTGCGGGGAGAGGTGGCGACAACAACAGCCCCTTTTTTGTCGGAGTTTTCAAATCTGCGTGCAGCCGCCTTGATTTGAAATATGCTGTCATGTATACTCCCTCCACATCACGCATTGCAGAAGAGCGCCCGTTTCCGGTCGTACAATACGGCTCAGCCAGTCCTCTTCAAGGTACCTTCTTGGACCGCGAATTATCGAAGAACAACGTGAGATAGGATGTGGAATTGAAAGGTTTGGTTGGGTTGGTTCGTGAGGTTGGAGGCAGTGTCAATTCAGGAAGCCGACCAACGCGCTACGGAAGTTACAACAGCGCTGGAGCCCCTGCCCCACTTGTCCCATCGAGCGTGTCGATTGGATGTGGTGATGCGGCTGTCAGAAAGGGGTACGGTTGTGAAATTGGGAGGGCGGGATCTGGCCTTGTTTGGTGGTGTGGATTTTGTCACCATAAAACTCGATCAAGTGTCAAATTAAACTCAGCCAAGTGTCAGTGTGGATGCTACGTCGACATGCCATGGTGCTACAAATCAGAGATGGGGGACCTTTGAATACGCTTTTGTCCGGTCGCGTCCCCTCCAGCAGGCTCGCCCGTGCCTGACGTAGGCAATCTGGCTCGAAAAGGAGGGAACAACGCTGATTGGCAGAGAGTAAGCTTAGGCCAAACCGAGATCGTGGCCATAAGCTGAAGCCTAGCCTTTTTCCTAACGAAGCGCTGAGATTCACTGTGATGGCTAGGCTCGCCAGGTTTGAAACATGTCACCAGGTTTATGTCAGGTACAAACTTATTAGGGCGGTCAGACTGGTCAGTAGCGTTTCAAAGCGGTTGTGCTAACCAAAGATTCTAGAGTGCAGAATATCGTTCTCCACCGCTTTCACCGAACCAGAAGTGGGCAGAGCCGAGCCGCCCCTAACCAGCCTACAAAACAGTAGAAGTAAAGAGAGAATTGCCGCGGCGCGGGCTTTGGTCTCGCGAATTTTTTTCATCGCGCTCAATTTTTTACACAACCCGAAAGACACGCGCTCCACCTTTTATCGCGAGCGGTGCGCGCTCCCGACATTTTGACTTCAAAGTGGTAGTGTACATGTAAGTGTACGGTCATGTCGGAAATTTTTGCCAGGAACCCAACCGAGAGCCTCCAACATTGTTGGAGCCAAACCAGCGTAGTGCTGGGTTGCCAAGCCTACGTGTGACATCTCGTAATTTAGCCTACGTGTGCCATTCAGCATGACAAAATCATTTGAGCGCCAAATGGAAGTCATTGAAACGACAGGTTCATAAGCACGAGAGGTAGCATTTTGAGCAGCGCAGCGCGAACAAGCACCAATAGAAATGTTGGTTCGTATTGGAATATATATTGCACTGCCTGCGTCAGCAGGCAGTGCAATGAGTCAGCGCGGGCAGAAAAAAATAAACCCCAGTCGGGGGCATGCCATCCGAGGGAGCCTCAACCCTAAAATTTTAGGGTTGAGGCTCCCGAATGGCATGCCGTAAGCCATGGGGTTTATTTTTTTTGCCCGCGGGCAGCGTGCTGACTCAGTCGATCGCCTCGTCAGCTTATCTGACGCTGTTCGTTTTGAACGCCGCAGCACCGATATGAATTTGGAACACTAGACACGTCAGACCTCAGTGCCACCAACGGAACCAATCACGATCGCGCACGAATCATTTGGGGTTCAGAAAGCAAGGAGTGTCGATATTCGCGGAGCATTACGTTCCGTTAACGATTAATTGATAGATAAAACATGTAAAAGTACATATAACTTTTCTTCATAACAGTTGTTTGGTAGTGCGTAAAATATCTGCATGATAATATAAGTAAAATAGCTCATTAATCTATCAATACAATACAATTTCAATGTTGTACAATTTACTCAAAGTTTAGAAAATATAGCAGCATATGATTAGAGAATCTTCAAACAATTGTAGTACAAGAGATAAGCATAGCTATTGATTTTTATTGTCTCTAAATACTTAATCAGGTGGGTAATGTTATGGTCTCTCACAAGGCATAACAACGCCAATTGGGCATGGCAGAAATACGTAATGCAGGCACAACTGACCATACATTATACATATATTGAGATAACAGTGTCTGTAGCAAGGTTGATTATGCTTGTGAAAAGGTTGGCTAAAAATTAACGAGTGTAAAAGTGCTGGCAAAGGCATGATTCTTTCCGTTTACTCACTATGATGATCATGCCTCAATGCACCAGTACAATGAATAGATAAGTAAAAATAAAGTTCCTCAAACATAAAAACAAACCTAAGTACAGTGTTGATGTCTTCAACAATAAACAAAGTACTTCACATACAAGGTCACAATATGTGCATTTCCCCCCCAGAACCATGGAGTTGCAAAATTTTGCAAATGAGTGATCAACGGTTTTCCACCGTATAACAAAATGGGACTGAGTGTTATAATAAATGGCTTGTTTATGAACTTGTTTTTTTATATCTCTAGTTGGGTGCTGTTTATTTTGTTAAAAATACTCCTTCCTAATATGTAGTTACAATCTACTGATGATTTTTTCGTTGTGAAACGGTCGCTGTATATAGTATCGAGCACACAAATAATGCTTTCTTACCACTTCATCACGCACTTGAACAACTTCACTTCGATAGTATGACGCGGCGCTAAATCATTGGCTGATACGTTCTCAAAGTGTTACGGATAAGTTTTTTAACACGGCTTCAAATGTTCCGCGTGGCAAGAGCTGGAAGGAAACGACTGAGTGCATGACGGCTACGTGCCACATGGGCGCAGCACTACAGTACATGCGATCTCCGTGGTGTAAAAGTCAGTACAGTGAATATTAGCAGACCAATCGCATTGCGACACGCCTAAGCCCACACAACTGTACTGTCTGATACAGTGATCCGCAGCACTTTGTCGAGCCTGTTCGCGCTCGAACCTGTCCGAACCTGTTATCCACACTTTGAGGAACGAAATGACCAATCGGCTAACACTGAGTGGCAGTTATGTTCGATGTCACCAAGAAAACTGCCCACCGACAAATTGGAACCCCCCAAAAAAAACCCGTAAAGTGATTAAATGACGCGAAATGGGGGGAGCGCGTGCCGCTCGCGACAGAAGGTGAAGTGTGTGTCTTTCGGGTTGTGGAAAATTTTGAGCGCGATAAAAAAAATTCACGAGACCAAAACCCGCGCCGCGGCAATTCTCTCGGCTCGTGCTGGAACACAAACCACGCAACCCTGCCCTTGAAATCAGCTTTACGTATCGCGGCGCGCAACAACGCGGGGGAATGCTTTTCCCACCAGCGGCGACAATACTTCGGGTTGTTTTCTGCCCGTGGGTCAGGCGACCACGGTCTACAGCCGACGGCGTAGGTCCGTCGTCCAGGGCAAATACGTATGATTTGCAATTCCACGTCTTTTTATGGGTGTGCAATGGTCGGAGATTGTATGTGAACCGTGTGTACACTCTGTTTACGTATCCACTTTATCCCCATGTGCAACTGTAACGAGAGACTTTATCCCCATGTGCAACTGTAACGAGAGACAATTGGGCGGAAATGTGCAGCGTCACAAGTTGGAAACCAATCGAGTCGCGCATTTTTTTGTACGTCCCGCACCGCCTTCCGCAACGGAAAAATATGTCGGCTCATGCAGGCTCTGCTCTCCTCTCCCACCCTTGTTTCAGTTTGAAATCAATCGCGCCACAATTTCACACCGACAGCACTGGCTGAAGCGGTCATACATTGCTTGGGAAACATTCCGAGAACAGAAACATCAGTTCTGCAATGCGAGAAATTCCAGCCGCACCCGTGTTCCTCCTTGGTATTTGGTACAAGAATGACACGGGAGGACGGTTTGTTGCCCACACACAGCAGCCTGCACTGCAACTTGAATATTTGGGGGAGACAGTCGCCAGAGCTGCAAGCGAATGACGCAGTTAAGCCTTTTCACCGACTTTGAATGGCGTACAATTCCACGCTTAGTAAGCGTCACGATTCTTGCATGCTTTTGCAATGTCGACCGGCTAAAGTATTCGATCTGAAACCCCATCTTCTGCCCCTTTTTTTCGAATAGTGATCCGCCACTCGTTTCCCGCCTCTGATGTATTGTAACCGTCATTGGGCGACAGATCACACCGGCACGACGCCCTGCTTTCACAGCGGCCGAGCCTCCTAAATTCGTCCACATTCGTTTTCAAGTAGGAACCAAGAGTGTCTCGCTTCCCGATCCTCACTACCGCCCATCGACCGCTTCAGCAGTGAATAAAAGTACCACGCTAACACTCCCGAGTGATTCGTTCAGCTCATCGAATCATCGACCTATATATTCTCAAATCCAAAATCCAGAATAACAGAGCAAATCCAGAATATAGATTCTACGAGCGTCGACAGTGTCTTCGCAGTGCAGCGATGCACCAGAATCCGTAGGGCATAGACAACTATAGGAGCGCCTAATAGGTACTAGTAACTCCCTAACTCATGGAGTCCCCAATCGGTAGCCATTCCTTGGCCTCCGCTTTGACAACCTTGGTGTTCTTGATCGGTAAGCCAGAGGTGATACAAAGTTCTTCCCCCACACATTTCGCGGTTTCTTTGTGAAAACAGTGGCGATAAGCGGTTTGACAATTGGACCAGATTCAGTGTGCTGTCTTGTTTTGTTTTGTTTGTTTTGTTTTGTTTATTTTGTTTTTTCATCTTCTTCATTCATTTGCGCTCCTTCTTTTCCTCGTCCCTCGTTTAATTTCTCTCGTCTCCCGACGGGTCTGGCAGGGGCACTAGCGATCGTACCCTCGTTTCCAAAGGTTCGCGCCTGGGATCTAGCCCCGCTACCACCGCGGCCCTTCCGCCCAAGTGCCCCGGCTTTGCGCAAACTCCGCGTGAATCCGTTTCCGCCTGTTTCGCCTCCGCGCACTGGTTTGGCTGCGGGAGTTGTTGGCGAAGAAGCTATCCCTTTGCATCCATCGCATGAGCAACATGACAGTTTCGGTTTGTCGCATGACGTGTCGCACGAGACGTCGCATGGAGTTTCGGAAGATCGCCAGCCGTCAGTGACGGAATGGCAAGGGGGTCGCGTCAACAGGCGCGTGGTCTGGCGGAATGCGCGCGTAAGGGGGATATCGGCGGAAGGCCAACCGGAGTCGGGGGGCGGAACTGGCGGAACAGCTGGGCCAGAGGGAGAAGTGGGGAGGGACGAGATGGAGAGCATAGCGAGGGAGGAAGCGGCATGGAATGGAGAGGAAAGGGACAAGCCTGGCACGGAAAGGGAGGAAGCCTGGAGAAGCAACGAGCGCGGCTCAGTAACTCGCGGGCAGATGGAGCGGCGCGAGTTGCTGCTTTTCGACGGGTCGCACATGCTTCCGAAGAAGCGCGGCGCGTGCGTGTACTATTACAAGACGGGGCGGTTCACTCTTCAGTACATCAACCCGCGCAAGTACGTGGCTGAGGTGTGGCGGCGGGGACGAGGGCGGGGAAGGGTCTGGGTGGGGACAAGCGCGGAACAGGTGGTGCGCGTTATGGGTGAATTCTCGAAAGCAGGACGCGTGCGTGTCAGCAACTAGCAAGCGGACGAGCGCAATCATGTGTGTGCGCGCGTGTGGGGGGGGGGGACAAGGGCGGGGTCGGAGGGTGTTAGGACCGCCGTTGCTGTTGTTTTTTTTTTTTTTTGCGCTAGAGATGAGTATTTCGCTTTTGATATCCACCTCCGAATGCGTGCGCTCTTCTTGATCACGCTCCCTGCCATTGCAGCACCACGCTCTCCCCCTCCGACGCCTGGGCGCCCCAGGGCAAGCGGCGAGTGCTCAGCGGCGACTGCCGCTTCGCGCTCAACACGCAGTGCAAGATCGTCAAGACATTCCCCAGTAAGCACCTCATAACTAAGATCTATATATATATAAAAAAAACTGCTTGGCGAACCTCTCTTCTTCCCAACGAAGATTTTGTGCCCATTGTCCCATTTCGAGACGGCTGACCCATTGTCCCACTCCATCAACATCCCCTCACACTCTCTAGTCCTATCCCTCTCCCTATTAACGCACCGTCCAACCCAGACGCGTGCGACGACGGCGACCGCTGTCGCATCAGTCGCTGCGTGTGGTACGGCAATCGCATCGCCTCGCCCGCCGCCTGCTTCCCCTTCCCCTCCTGCTTCTTCGCCCCCGCGCGCTGCTCCCGCTCCCCGCGCGCCCTCTGCGCGAAAAAGCGCCCCGCGAACGTCTTCCACGTCGTCGACGATTTCGGCGCGGCGGGTAACGGGATCGTGAACGACGCGCGTCCAATAACGGCGGCGTTTGAGGCAGCTTGTCGTTACGCCGCTAATGCTGCCGTTCCTGCCGCTGCGAATAACAAGGCGGGGAGGCATGCCATAGTGGTGATTCCGAAAGGGAAAGTGTTTAAGTTTGGGAGCCCGATGGTGTGGCAAGGCCCGTGCGGGGCAGGGAATGTAACGATCCGGCTGAGCGGAAAGCTCGTCTTTCCGCTGAATCCGCTTGCGTTTCGCGGGGTTCCTGATTTCATTCTGCTCCTGGACCGGATCCAACGGCTGAGGATCGTCGGGGGAGGCTCGATCAACGGCATGGGTTTTGCATGGTGGGACCTGTTTAATAAGAAGCAGCTTAAGTGGAATCAGAAGATCAGGCCTGGAATGTTGTTCCTGCACCGGTGTACCAACGTGGAGATCAGAGGAATCACACTTAGGTAAGCGATCCACGTGACTCAGCTCAGTGAAATCCCTGCCAGTCGCTTCCTTCCTGCTTTTACAAACGCATCCTGTGTTTTACATACACTCTTGTTGTCCAGTTTCCTGTCGCCTTGTCACCCTGTGAACGCATACCAGCAAACGTGATATATTCAAATTAGATGCATTAAGATGCAGCATGCTTTGTTTACTAATCACGCCTGCCCCTCTCTCCTTGTCACTGCGTGTACCCCAGGAACCCCCCCATGCAGCACCTGCACCTGTACCGTTGTAACAACGTTCGAATTGTTGGTGTTAAAACGCGTACGCCAGCAGACAGCCCGAACACAGACAGCATTGGCATCGGCATGTCCTCAAACATCACTGTAGAGGGCTGCCAACTACATGGAGGTATGGAAATAGGTTCTGCCTAATTTTTTATTTCTTTCAAGCTACAAAAGTTTAAGCACATATATTGTTTGTAACGCATGTCGTTGCGACGTGCGCTGCAGGTGACGACAATGTGGCGATCACGGGCGGCAGCAGCAACATACTGCTGCAGGACCTAGTGTGCACTGCTGGCCATGGCATCAGGTGAGAATGGCATCAGGTGAGAATGGCATCAGGTGAAAATGGCATCATGTGAGAATGGCATCAGAATGTTTTGCGGTTGTGTGTGTGTGTGTGTGTGTGTGTGTGTGTGTGTGTGTCCATCTCCTAACCTTCTCTTTTCTCCTTCCACCTCTCCCCCCTCTCCCCCCCAACAGCATTGGTAGTCTGGGAGTGGACGGCAGTCTAGCGTGTGTGTCGGACATCCGAGTGCAGAACGTGCAGCTAGCAGCGCTCTCCAACGGGCTGCGCATCAAAACCTACCAGGGCGGCCAGGGCGCCGTCTGGAATGTGATCTACGAAAACGTCACCATGCAGGACGTTACCAATGCAATTATCATTGATCAGGTGAGGTTACAATGTATGCTTGACATTTCCTGGTTCCCTGCCCAATGTCTGGCTACCATGTCTGGCTACCATGTCTGGCTACCATGCCTGGTTACCATTGGGTTACCACATCTGGCTCCTATGTCTGGTTGCCTTATCTAGTTCCCATGTCAGTGGCTTCTATGTCTGGTTTTCCGTACGCTGATGCCAATTGTTCTGAACTGAACATTCATTTGTCTGAAATCCTTGTCTCATGTTGACTTGCAAAAGCTCTGTACCATCTGCTTCTACAAGAAACATCCCATTCCCTACCATTACCCTACCAAATCCCACTGACTTACCAACATTTTTCGCACCAACTCCCTACTCATTTCCAGAGCTACTGCGATCGGAACAATGTGGGTCCAGAGGGATGCACCAGCAGCAGCGGCAACGCAATAGCCATTTTCAACGTCTCCTATTACGGCATCACGGGTTCCTGCAATGGCAGCCGCGGAATCGATCTTTCCTGCAGCCCCAACACCCCCTGCCAATCCATCTCCCTTGACTCAATCAATCTCAAACGATCGCTACAGTCTACATACTCCAGTTTGGGTGCTCGGTATAGGAACGTGTATGGGAGCAGCATTAGGGTGGCGAGTCCGAAGGTTACGGGTGCTGTTGTGTGGAGCACGGCCAGCATTGCTGGTTCCAAGTCGAATAACATTGCTGCTCAGGCAGCCAAATGCGGGTGAGTGGTGCAGTTCTTTCCAGCTGTGTGCGGCTGTCAACACTCGTACACTGGGGTTGCTTTTTGAAATTGAACGTTGATTTTTTATCGCGTGCGGCTTTCAGTCGTTGGGACTTGTCTCTCTTGTATGATCTGCTTTTTATCGATCTCTTCACATTTCCTCACTCGTATACTCCACTCTGCCTCTCTCCCCTTGTTACAGAGTGACCTACCCCTTCTCCACCACCACTGGTGGCAGTGACACAGGCACCAACAGCACCAGCAGCAGCACCAGCAGCAGCACCACCACCACCAGCAGCACCAGCAGCAGCACCACCAGCACCAGCAGCAGCACCAGCAGCACCAGCAGCAGCACCAGCACCAGCACCAGCAGCACCAGCACCAGCAGCACCAGCAGCACCACCAGCAGCACCAGCAGCACCAGCACCAGCAGCACCAACACCAACAGCACAGGCACGACCACTAACAGCACCAGCAGCAGCAGCAGCAGCAACAGCACAGCTAAAATAACCCAAACTAGTGGCAGCAGCAGCAGCACAAGCAGCAGTGGTGGGATGGCTACTGCAAAGGGTTCAAGGCCAGTACTAGCAAGCATCAGAAGCAGCGGAGGGAACACAGGCACAAATGAGAGCAGTACTACTACAGGCAATGGCAAGAATGGCAGCAGTGGCAGCAGCAAGAGTAGCAGCAGCAAGAGCAAGAGTAGCAGCAGTGGAACCAGCAAGCAGAGCAGCAGTAGCAGAAGCAGAAGGGCCAGCAGTAGCGAAGCTGTTGGCAACACAGAGGGCTGGACAGCAGGAGAAACTGACAGTGGCGGTGGTATTGATGCTGCTGCTGCTGCTACCGCTGCTGTCGGTGGTGCCAGTGAGGAGGGCCGAAAGGGCGTGCAGATGAAGCAGAGATGGCTTGGTGGGGAAGAGAACGACAAGCCGTGATGGAGCAAAATTCATGTTCTCAAGGATCTGAGCAATGGGAATTGCATGCGTTGACATCCTGGGCAGGTTTCATGTCATAACAGTAAATAGTCAGCTAGAGATTTCGCTTGGTGACATGAAGATTGGTTTGGCTGGCTAGTGTAGGAGCAGGAGCGTGTAAGAGACAAGGTGCAAAGCGCCCATACGTTTACAATAGCCGGTGTACACTGAACAACCACAGTGACAACGCGTACCGGCCAATGTGAAATACTAAAGAACCACCGTGACAACGCATCATGGTGCGGGGACCATGTGAAATACTAAACAAATGCCTACCGTACCGCAGTTACAATATAGGGTGGTGCCATTATCATATGCTGGTTTCAAACAAAGATATGTGAACTCTTTTTCCTGTTGCAGAAACTTTTTCCACCAATACCATGGACCCGTAAAAGGAATGAACTTGTGATACCGTATTAAGGTAATGGTGAATGCCTTTGAAGTAGAAGCTTAAAGCCCTCCCATCCTCCCCCAGTTCACCTATGATCCCAGGAGGCTGAACACAGAGTCACCTCAACCACTGCTGCTCATCACTACACCTCTCCTCCTCAAACCCAAACTCCCTCACAAACTCCTCTATTAGCACATCCGTTACTGTCTCCACATCCACACCTACACCCGCATATGCTATTGCATTACGAGAAACATTTGCTCCCGTTCCCACGCTCCTCCTCCCCTCCTCCACGCCTCCTATCCTCCTAACCTTCCCAGCCAAGCGCCTTCTTTCCTCATTTAAAGACGTCACCGCTTTACCCTCTAGCCCACAGGGCACTATAAGCTTAAAAAACGAAAGGTCCGTGCTTACATTGAAGGCCAAGCCATGTCTTGTCACACCTCCTGATATCTGCACACCAACTGCACCAATTTTCCTCCCTGACCCACCTTCTGGAGTAACATTGGAATCACCACCTGAATCACCACCTGAATTACCACCTGAATCATCAACGCCTGCACATTCGACATCAGAACCCTCCTCGTCCCATCCCACCCACACCCCCGTCATTCCTGGAACCCTCCCCCGAGCCTCCACGCCGAACCTAGCAGCAACCCGAACCATCACGTCCTCCAGGCCCTCCACGTATCGCCGCGCGCCGAGCCTCAGGTCCGGCAGCCGAAGCACGGGGTACAGCACGGCCTGGCCGGGACCGTGAAACGTGGCGTCACCGCCGCGCGCGGTTCTATGGACCTCCACGCCCCTCGCCGCTAGCTCATCCTCCCCAGCGATTATATGACTCGCTCCGACGGCTTGCCGCTTACCGATCGTTACTACTGGCGGATGTTGCAGGGCGAGTAGTAGGTCAGGTGATGGCGGAGTTCTGGGGGAACTTGCGGATACGAGCGGGGAAGGAGAGGAGGACGCGGAGGCGGCAGTGGCGGGGCGTCCAGAGCGGCGAGCGGCGGCGCGGGCTTGGAGGTCGAGCGCGGTGAGGTAAGGCGTGACGCCGAGGCGCAGAACGCGGAGTATCGGGGGTGCCATAACTGTGGCAAGGGACAATGGAAAGGTGAAGGGGTGATGGGGGGCTGGAAAATCGTCAGAAGCGGGCGCGCTATTGACGTGAGCAACAAAATGTTTATTACCGTAGTCGTGAAACCATTCATAAAGGTGAAACTTCCAATCTGCATATGAAACCCCTCTTTTGTAGTGACATATTTTTCCATGTGCAAGTACCCGAATTATACTTTCACATAATCGCAAATGTAATCAAATAATCAAGGATCATATATATGAGCAGACTACATACTGAAGCCACACTTTGTAAGGGCCATTTTATATCCTACCTCGAGCTTGACCTGGAACAAATGTAGCTTGCAAAGGTACCTCTGGGTCACAACTGTCTCTCAGAAAAGCAGCCGTAGGTCTTCTCGCATAATACACGGCTGTGCTTGAATAACCAGACTCAGAAATAACATATGCATCACAAGAGCCCAGCAACAACCATTCCGTTACCAGTTCTTGGAACAACCTCTCGCGCTCGCGTTTTGTCTCTTCCTGCTGCTGGCTGTCAAGCTCCGCTTGGCGCAGAGTGGAGGAGCCGTTTCTATTGCTGCCAGCAGAGCCAGAGCTAAGACTGTTTGAATGTCGAGGTACGAAGTCAGTTGTGATCACCTGGCAGAGGCAGAGAAAGGAGAGAAACATAGAGCAAGAGAGAGAGGATGTGAGATTGAACGAGAGAACGAAAGAGATGGGAAATATACACTTCTCAAGGCAACATGACACAAGAATCACATTCAGAAGAATATACACCATGACTTCATATCACGAGCTCAATCCCAGAAACAGATCCCTGGAAATACACAAAGAAAGCTGAGTGCTGGTTTCCCCCTCATGTCCCCCCCCACAACACCTTCCCCCTTTCCCCCCTGTCCCCCGCATCCCCTTTCCCCTTGAGTAGCACGCAAGTACACACACACACACACACACACACACACACACCCACACACACACACACCCCCGCACGTACGCACACACACAAACCCCCCCACACACATGCACGCCAGATCCACACACACGCACACCAGACCCACACACACACACACCCACACACACACACACACACACACACACACCCACACACACACACACCCACACACACACACACACACACACACACACACACACACACACACACACACACACACACACACACACACACCTTGTTGGGAAACTTGGATTTAATGGCAGCCTTGAGCTGCACCGAGTTGGTGACGAGCATCCAGCGCACCGCCACAGATGACGGGAACCAGAACTCCTCCACCCGCTGGCGCCCCCGGGAAACACACACGCCACGCAAGTTTCCAAGGAAATGAGAAAGGAGGAGGTGGGGAGAGATGCGGGAGCGTCGTCAGGACCTTGGGATCCAGTGCGGTTTGGCATGGGTGGGACTCGGTAAAGAGGGCTTGGGGAATGAGGGGTTGGGGAATGAGGGGCTGGGGAATGAGGGGCTGGGGAATGAGGGGCTGGGGAATGAGGGGTTGGTTGGGGCATGCGGGGTTGGGGAGTGAGGGGTTGGGGAATGAGGGGTTGGGGAGTGAGGGGTTGGTTGGGGCATGCGGGGTCGGGGAATGAGGTGTGGCGGAAGAGCGTACCGAGAGGATGCTTACATTGAACAAAACGAACCCCGGCCCCCCCTTTTCCCCGCCAAAAAAACAGCCCAACAGTGCAAAGGGTAGCACTCCCGCCCGCCTCACGACCCACTTGAGACCCCGAACCCCAAAACCCAAACCTTCCTTCCCCAACCTCCCCACTTCCAAACTCCCCATCCCCCCGCTCTCCCACTCACCCGAGCACATAGAATCCACTTCCTGGCGCTAGCAACAAGCACATCCACCTCTTTCGCAGAGAGGTCCTTGGGCTTGCCCCTGTCGCCCGCCCACACCACAGCGTCCTTCACCCGAATGTGGATCCCCACTGTTGCCACCCGGGGCCTCCTCGCCCTGCCCCTCGCCGCCCACCGTCTCCCCCGCAGGCGCTGCTCCATGCTGTGGAAAAGTGCTTGCACCTCTGGCTTGGGTGAGAGTGTGGGGGGATGGGGAGAGGGGAGACGGTAGGCGGGAGGGGGTGATGGGGGAGGGGGGAGTCAATCGGGAGGATGCTTGCACGAGTCTGCTTTTAAGTCGATCCAAAAACCGACTCGTTACAATTTACAGTGTGGAGGATGCTTGCACCTTTGGATTGGAGCTGGGGAAGGGAGAGGGAGAAGAGGCGCAAGTGAGAAGACGAGAGGGTAGAACGGTAAGGGTACGGGGCGTGGAAAAGTGGTACAGCTGTTTTGCCCTCCCTCCGCCTCCCTGATTCCCCCTCCTCCCTTCCCCCCCATCCCCGTACCGCATGAGGAACCGGAGCGAGCACCCGAGCGCGTATGGCAGGCGCATGCCCATCGCCTTGAACCTCTCCGCCCACTCCCCCTCCCCCTTCATCTGCAGCCACGTCAGCACGCCGCGGTTGCTCGTCATGCGCACGTTCACGGCCCCTTCCAGCTCCTTAAAGAACGGCTCGATCTTGACAAACTTATTCCGCAGCCACAGCTGCACCACCTCCCCGTCGCGCGCGCGTTCGGGAACCGTCCTCCCCTCGCTATCCTCCACCAGCTCCAGCTTCCGCGCAGGTTCCATGGGCACGTAGGGGCCGGGATTCCAGTTAATGAGGTTGGGTTCGAAGGCAGCGGGGAGGCAATCGTTGCGTATTATGAGCGCGCGATTGTCGAGTATGGCGACGACGAAGGCGGTTAGCAGCCCCGCGAGCACGTCTGCGAAGCCTCCACAGCCGTCCACCCACTCGAATGTGAGGAAGCGGATGGGAGGGTCTTGTAGGGATGGGGGGTTGAGGGAGAGGGAGGGGGAGGAAGGGGGGGACGAGGGGGAGGAGGAGGAGGAGGAGGAGGAGGAGGAGGAGGAGGAGGAGGAGGAGGAGGAGGAGGAGGAGGAGGAGGAGGAGGAGGAGGAGGAGGAGGAGGAGGAGGAGGAGGAGGAGGAGGAGGAGGAGGAGGAGGAAGGAACGGAGGTATTCTGAGGTGCTTCTTGCAGATTTCGCCGGCGAACCCCCTGCTGTTTCTGCTGCGCCGTCTGCTGCTGCTGCTTCTGTTTCTGCTTCTGATTCTGCTGCTGCTTCTGCTTCTGCTTCTGCTTCTGCTTCTGCTTCTGCTTCTGCTTCTGCTCCTGCTTTTGCTTCTGCTCCTGCTCTTGCTTTTGATTCGAACTTTGCTTCGGTTTCTGCCCCACCTCCTCCTTCCCCTTTTCCACCACCGCTTCCTCGTTTACCTCGTTCTCCTTCTCCTTCTTCCGCACCTCCACCTCTGTCCCCACTGTCATCCCCACCGGCTGCTGTGTCACAGAAGCCTTTACTACCAGAGGCTCCTCAAAAGGCGCGTCCTGTTCGCCCTCCCCTGTCGACCCCTCCGGCTGACTTGTCACAGAAGGCTTTACTACCAGAGGCCCCTTAGACGGCACTTCCTGCTTTCGATCCCCTGTCGTCCCCGCGTGCTGCCGTGCCAGATACGCTTCAAAGGCGCGTTCCAGTATTCGACTGTGTAGGGCCGTGTAGTCGCTGGCCCATGATCCGCATAAGCCGTCCGCTTCGGAGAAATTAAAGTTCAGAAAGGACGACACGCGATCTCGCTGTCGCAAATGCCGCTCCTGACGCCGGGAAATGAATGCGGGCGTGAAAGTGAAAAGCACGAGTCAAACGAACAAATAGAAAGAATCCAAGCACAGGGTGGGAGAGAGAGAGGAGAAGTTGTGCGGGAGGGGAAGGAGGAAGAACGGGAGGAGGGAGCGGGGGAAAGGGTGAATGGAAGTGCAGGGGTAGGAAAGGAGGTAGGGTTGTAATTCGTATTCCCTTACCGCGATGCGCTGGGTTGTAGTCAGCGAAGCGAACGCGAGAACGAAATGCAGAACAACGAGCAGCTGCGCAGTCGACCCAGGAAACGCCATGATAGGCGGTTTTCCAGAGATCGTGTTTAGCTCTCGCGGAGACAGGAGTAGTGAACATGGGAGGTTGAACAGTAGTAGGCAAACGACAAGATCGAGGGAAGTGAGCCACACGAAAGAGCTACATTGAAATACGAATTAATTTTCTAGGACAGGAGGAATCAAGGGGATTTCGACATCTAGAGGATCTAACGCTGGATAACTTCCAGGTTACGGGCTCCGTCGCGTTGTTTGACGTGGCAGAACGAGCACAGCGTGCAAACGCTGTAGCATAGATGCGATGCGACGCGACTTGCCGTTGACTCACTGCTCACGGATATGTGATAAGACAGACAACCCTGTTGCCTCCATTGGGTGTGCCACGGATCGCCTCGGCGTGTATCCCAAGGCCTTCTCGTATGCGGTTCAATGAGTTTCTTCGCGTTCCAGAGCGTTCAATTTAGAAAAGGAATTCAGGATTCAGAATTCACCCGCCCGCCCACCAGACCCAGTCCCTTGTGCGGAACGTTTACCGGTTCCGCCGAGCCGCACTTTTCCCGCCTCGATGTTCGTATTTCCAAACATCTTCCCTCCTGTTTACGTCGCTTTCGGCTCTGGGATTGGCTCTCGCGAAAACAACCTACTGACACAACCTGCGTCGGGGAGGGGGGTGTCAAAATCATACTTGCGAATCGGTTACAGCGACCGCACGGTCAAGACGAATATCCGTTTTGATTGCATATGGTAAGTTAAAGCGAACATTTATGAACATCCTAAGGATAAGTAAACAAAGAAAACACACGTGGTTCCTGCAAGACCGCGTGGAGTCCTGCTGAGCATGCATAGTTTTAATCAGCAAGAGGGGGCATCAATCTGATTCATAGGGAGCAGGCAAAGTGTTCGCATGGGGGGATGGGGAGGGGGGGAGTGTCAGAATCCCAGCCACTAACCACTGGGATAAAAGTGTCAGAATCCCAGCCACTAACCACTGGGATAAAAGGGCTTGTTTGTGTAGCGGGTGAGTGCGCCCATAACCCCCCAGGCCAACGTGCCTGTAACCCTTCCCTAGGATCAATCGGGGATCACCAGTGGACCTCTGACACCCCCCCGCACTGGGATGCTCGAGGTGCACACACCGGGATTCGAACCCGAGACCTTCGCTCTGATACCATGTCAGAATCCCAGCCACTAACCACTGGGATAAAAGGGCTTGTTTGTGTAGCGGGTGAGTGCGCCCATAACCCCCCAGGCCAACGTGCCTGTAACCCTTCCCTAGGATCAATCGGGGATCACCAGTGGACCTCTGACAAAAAGGGCTTGTTTGTGTAGCGGGTGAGTGCGCCCATAACCCCCCAGGCCAACATGCCTGTAACCCTTCCCTAGGATCATCGGGGATCTCAAGTGGACCTCTGACACCCCCCCGCACTGGGATGCCCGAGGTGCACACACCGGGATTCGAACCCGAGACCTTCGCTCTGATACCATGTCAGAATCCCAGCCACTAACCACTGGGATAAAAGGGCTTGTTTGTGTAGCGGGTGAGTGCGCCCATAACCCCCCAGGCCAACATGCCTGTAACCCTTCCCTAGGATCATCGGGGATCTCCAGTGGACCTCTGACAGGGAAGGGGGGAGGGAGGTGTTAAAATATATTTATATTATAATGTAACTGCATGTAACTTAGCTAGTGTAGTATCATTTAGGTTTCTATTGTTGGTGGTATACCCCTCTTGGCCACCATCCCTACCACTATATCTTGTATTTCACTCATAGTACATCCCCTTCTTTGCTTGGCCAACACTCTCTCCCACCAAACCCTAAGGCTCTCTCTAGCTACTATTCTAACAGGAGGGTGGGGGCAGAGTCTGAGTGTAGGACTGAGACAAATATAGCTACGCTATCCCTGGAAGAAAACAAAAAAGTACAGTACCGTATATACCGTACCGCAGTCTCTGACTTCAAGTGTACGCATCATGTATGTTGGGCTTTTTTACTCCAACAATGTATACCCTATGACTGTAGTTTATTGTGAAAGTTAGGGGGCAAAAAAGGGACCTGCCTATTGATTATGAGAACACATTGAAGGACTATTTTCATATCCTACCCCGAGCCTGACCTGGAACAAATGTAGGTTGCCAAGGCTTCTTAGGGTCACAACTCACTGCCATGAAAGCAGCCATGGGCCCGTTACCAAAATGCACGGCTGTGCTCGAATAACCAGAAAGAGAAATAACATATGCATCACTAGAGGCCAGCAGTAACCACTCCGTTACCAGCTCTTGGAATAAACGCTCCTTCTCGCGTCTTCTCCATTCCCGCAGCTGCCTTGCATGCGCCACTTGGGATAGAGTGGAGAAGCGGTTGCCAATGCTGTCAAGCGGTTGCCAAGCAGAGTTCAGAATGTTAGAATGCCAAGGTACAAAGTCGGTAGTGACGACCTGGCAGTGGTGGAAAAACGATGAGAGGGAGAGAGAGAGAGAGAGAGAGAGAGAGAGAGAGAGAGAGAGAGAGAGAGAGAGAGAGAGAGAGAGAGAGAGAGAGAGAGAGAGAGAGAGAGAGAGAGAGAGAGAAAGCATGGGCGAGTAAAAATAACAACTGCAGAAATGAGAGAAGAGCATGTTACTCCCCCACTCCCCAACCAATCTTGAATTTCTCCCCACACCCTCCCCCTCTCCCAACCGCACCACGAGGCAGGCACACACACTAACCCACCCAACCCCACACACACCTTGTCGGGAAACCTAGACTTGATGTTAGCCTTGAGCTGTGCTGAGTTAGTGACGAGCATCCAGCGCACCTCAACGGACGACGGGAACAAGTACTTCTCCACCCGCTGCAGCCCCCGGGAAACACGGCAAGGAAGTTGCCAGGAAGGTTGGGAAGCAGGGCGTGGGGGGAGGTGGGCGAAGGTGAGGACAGTTAGAGGGTTGAGAGTCAAAGCGGGTCTGAGGAAAGAGGAGTTGGGGTTTCGTAGCTCCCAAATCCCTCTCCCCACATAGGTCGTGGAACCTCCAATCAGAAAGGCTCGTCCTCATTTCTCGCCCGGACGTGCCCATTTTAACCCGCTCGTGACTGGTGTTGCATGCTCCAGCCTCATCATTCTCCACTGCAAACACCCTAAACGACATTGGCAAGGATTGTAACCAGGGATGCGACGCTGAAGGCTCCACACCCTTACCCGAGCACATTGAATCCATTTATCGGCGCGCTTAAGAATCCAGTCCATCTCCTTATCAGTGATCTGCACGGGCTTGCCCCTGTCGCCCTCCCACACAAAATAGTCGCCCACGCGGATGTGAAGTCCTACTGTTGCGGGTTCCGAGTGTTCAAGCGCAGCCCCTCCCATCCCTGCCAACGTTCTCCTGCGTAGGCGCTGCTCGATGCTGTGGAAGAGCGCTTGCACTTTTGGCTTGGGGCTGGAGGCGTATGTGTAGAGAGGTGGTAGAGGATGGAAGAGGGAGAGGGAGAGGGCGAGGGACCATTTGAGAGGGTCCGGGGGTGACGGGGGCGGGATGAGGGGAGAAAGGGGAAGGGGAAGGGAATGAGCGGAAGTGAGAGCAGAATGCAAAAGGGGATGGTAAAGCTGGTCATGAATCCATCCACACTTTGCTCTGCTCTCTCCTCTCTCCTCTCACCTCTCTCCTCTCTCGCTTCCCGTAATTTCCCCTTCCCAACCTCCTCCCTCTTCTCCCCCACCTTCTCCCCTCTCCGCCTCCCGCTCCTCCCATCCCCGTACCGCATTAGGAACCGGAGCAAGCACCCGAGCGCGTATGGCAGGCGCATCCCCATCGCCTTGAACCTCTCCGCCCACTCCCCCGTCTCCTTCGTCAGCATCCACGACAGCACGCCGCGGTTGCTCGTCATGCGCACGTTCACGGCCCCTTCCAGTTCCTTAAAGAACGGCTCGATCCGCACGAATCTATTCCGCAGCCACACCATCACAACCTCCCCGTCCCGCGCGCGCTCCGCCGGGAGCGTCCTCCCGGGGAGGACGCTATAATCTACCAGCGTAAGGTTCCGCGCAGGTTCCATGGGCACGAACGGGCCGGGTGTCGCATCGCGGAAAAGGTTTTGGGCCCGAGTATCCGAAAACGGGGTACTCTTC